GCTTATTTAACCTTGTGTATTTTATTTCTTCTTGCCTCCACTACCTCGGGCAAAGCAATCTGAACGTCGCCTGTGATTGTTGTTCCCACGCAGGTGGTGTCCCCCAGGTGTTCCTGACAGCACCATCTGGGACAGTGCAGATCCCCGTCTCTGCAGTTCAGCTTCACCAGGTAGGTCGGGGAGGTCTGCTCCCTGCTGCCAGATGACGACTCCACGACACCTGCAGGGTGGGGCGCGAGCGCTCGGTCACAGGCAGAATCCCTGGCCCGGGGCCCCATCTGTTTCTCTGGTCAGCCTAGGCAGGGAGGCAGCCTGTGCAGGCTGTCCAGGCCCCCCACCTTCCCGGTCCTCACCCCTCACCCCCCCGTGTTCCCTCCAGATGGCTGTGATAGGGCAGCAGGCCGGGAGCAGCAGCAACCTCACCGAGCTACAGGTGGTCAACCTGGACGCCACCCACAGCACCAAGAGTGAATGATCCGCCCTGCCGCCCTGGACAGCTGGCCCGAGGGATGGCACCACTTATTTATTGTTGCCTTTTCACGTTTTCTTTACACACGTCGTCAACGGGCCGCAGGAGGGAGGGTGGGAAGGAGGAGCGGGCAGACACAGGACTAAGCCCTCTCACTCCAGCCAAAGAAATGGGCCTGCCTGCCCTCCCTCCCGTCCCCACCCCTGCCCCCAGCACCCACTCCTTCTTTGGGCTCCACCTTCTATTTCTTGTTGATGGTGGGCTTTCCTCCTCCCCTACCCCCAGACCCCCTACTTGACCCACAATCTCCCCTTGCCAGCTTGGCTCAGTGTTTGCCATGAGTATTAGCTTATCCAACCGGACAGGGCCCTTACTTTCCACTCCCAGGTTTTCTGTGGAACTGGGCCCTGTGTCCTCCCCTGGGGACGCAGTCACCTGCTGTGTGTCTCTCCAGCCTCCTGCTTGACCCCAGGTCAGCACCGTGTCTGCCATAGGCTGGGTTACAAGAGGCCTGCTGCTGCCCCTTAGGGAGCCAGCTAGGGAGATGGGGCTGAGCTGGGGGACGTCTTCCCTCCTGCGCTGCCCTCTGCTCTTTGACTTCCTCTGAGTAGCTGGGCCTGTGCACTGGGGCAGGCTTCTGGGGCCGCCTGCCCTGCTGCCTTGCCACCTGCCCTGGCCCTCCATGGGCTCCTGGGATGGAGGGAAGCACCAGCGTTCCCTTCTCCCCCTCGTCTTCCCTTCTCCTCCCAGCTGCTTTACTTAAAGTTGATTTTGAACTTTTTATTTGAGGAGACGAAGTGAAAACAAATCTATAAATATATATTTTTAAAATATTTAACTTTTTTTTAATGGCGTTTTTCTCGTCCCACCTGTCCCCCTCCCTGCCTAGGACTCCCCTTCTCTGGAGAGTCCTAGGGGCTCCCCAGAACTGGCCGGGCCCCCTCTGGGGACAGAGCTACCCCATGAACTTGGGGGCTGCCAGTGTAGGGGAGGGGAGGTTCTGGGACAGCTGGTCCTGGGTTGTTTCCAGGAGCAAGCTGGGGAGGGGCCCTCAGGCCATGCCCCAACAGGGTGGGGAGGGTGACCCACAGTTATGGGCTTCTTTTTGCCCTTGTTAGGGCTGTTGCTAGGGAGAGGGAAGAGGGAGACCAAATGTAGGGGTGTGGGTGGGAGGGTGTCAGGTAGAGGCAGCCGACTTCATTTGTGCCACACGCATGGGCATTGCATCTTTGTGTTCTCCCAGGCCTGTGGTGGCCTGGGGCCCAAGTTGCAGTGAGCAGGGTGGGGTCTGGGAGGGGGTGAGAGGCAGGAATTTTGGGGTAGCGGCAGTCAGGAGAAGTGGGAGCAGCTCTGGGACCCAGAGTAGACATAGGGGAGCCAGGAACCGGCAGCTCTCCCAGGGAGTGAGCAGCTACTGTAACTTTTTTAAATTAAGACAAAAAAAAAGCCTTGAAGAAAATTACTTTATTTTTCTAAGTGTAACCTCAGTATTTATGTAATTTGTACAGGGGCCATGCCCCACCCCCCTCTACCCTCTTTAGGGTAGACCTTAAGGGTGGGCCAGCATTGGGGGAGGGTCTTTTCACCCTGTGTCCCGGCCTACCTTCACCTGGATCCAGAAAGGAAGCTTTGGGGGTCAGCTGCCGGGGTGGTGTCATGAAACCCTCCCTCTCACCCCCTCAGCCAGCTGCCTTCAAGTAGGAACTTACCTGCACCTGGGATTGGGTGAGGGGTAGAGTGGGGAAGATTGCACGCACAGCTGAGTTGTCAAGGGGACAATTTGTAGAGACGTGTTGGAGAACCCCCTAACCTCTACCCCCCTTCCATTGCTGTCTTGCCCCCAATTTGGGGTACCAAAATGGAAGTCACCTTTCTGGGGCTTCCTCCTGGAGATGGCTAGGGTAAAGGGGTGGGGGGAAGGGTGTGTGTGTGTGTGGCTTTCCAGGCTGAAGGATAGCCAATCAGGGGCCAGAGAGCTGGGGGAGCTTGGGACTCAGGTCAGTAACTGCCCAGCCCCCTTTTTCTCTGCTCTTGTTTCACTCCACCTGCCACCCATCCACCCACCCACTCACTCACTCTCCACTTCCCCTAGCCCCAGTTGAGCGGGGGAGGAGATGGTAATGAATTCTTCCTTCTCCCCACGACAGACAGACCCAGTGAGTGAACCAGGCAAAGTGCTTATAGATGTGTGTGGTTGTGAGTGTGGCCTTGGGCGGACATGCGTGTGTTGCGAATGAGGTGGCATTTTTATGTGCAGTGGGCCCTTGGCGTCTCCCTTCCTCGGTGGCTCTGGGGTTAATGTGTGTGTATGTGCGCGCGTGCGCTTGTGCCTGAATGAGTGAGCGAGTGTGTGTGTGAATGTGGTGTGTGTGTGTGTCAAGTGGTTTCTACTTCCCCTGGGATGCTGACCCAGGAATAGTGGACGTGATCACGGTCCTATGTACAGAGCTTTCTTTTGTATTAAAAAAAAAATAATTACTCTTTCAATAAATGTATCATTTTTGTGCACAGACTGTGGGGGTCTTTGGCTCTATTTTTCTGAAGAGGGAAGCGGGAGAGGTAAACCTCAAAGCTTTGCATTTTGGAAACGCTGCGGGTGCCCTGATTGAACGCTAGAGACTTTGGGAGGGGCTGGGGTGGGGATTCTCCCGGATGCTTGGGGCGACTTTTAACTGCTAGGAAACGGGCCAGAATTAAGCCCAACGCTTGCCTGAAGCGAGGTCGAGTCACCGGGTTTCTGAGTGCGGTGGGAGATGGAGAGAACGCGAGCCTAGAGATGAGGGGCGCTGGACAGCTGATCAGAAATACCGAGAGAGGGATCACCCGACGCGCCCGGCTTCTGCTCTTGCAGCGGCCCGCGGGCAGCACGCATGCTCGGTCCACCGCGCTTGGCGTGGGCCGCAGGGGGATCCGTAGATGCCGAGCTGTGCACGTTCCGCGCTCCTCGCTTGCCGTGTGACCCGGAAGGGAGCAACAGAGGCGGGGCCAGCACGGCGGGACTGGCCGCTGGGTCCCAACGAGGGAGGTGAGAGGCCAGCTGTGCCTGCCCCGCTCCCGACCCCTGCCCTGCTCCCTGAGCCATTTCGGTGGAGCTGAGATGGCCTTGCTCTCTCGGAGAGGTCCTCCTAGCCTCACCTCCCCATCACCTCCTCCCGCCATCCCCCTAACCCCCACACCCACACACCTCTGCCGGCCCCCGAATCCTCCTCTTCCACCAGATCCCTCCTTGGCCGCCTCCTTCTTCCCGATGGCCCGCAGGCCACCTGCTGTTAGTATCCCCATACCTCGTTTCATTGTTCCTGATCTGGATCCGTCTTCTGCCTCCTTCCTGTTGCCCATGGGCCTATTGCCCACATCACTGGGTTGCTCCCCAACCCTCACCCCTCCCACACCCTTCGTGTCTCCTCCCCTCTCCCTTCCGTCCCTGGACCCCTTCCCCCCAGGACCCCTCCCCTCTTCCTCATGTCTTCCCCCGGATTTGCTTTCCATTCCTAGCTCTCCCTATTGCCTCCAACACATACTTCAAGGTTGTAGCCCTCCTGCATGTTGTCTTTCCATTCATCATTGCCCCCGCCTTCCCAACTAAGAATACTATTATGTTTCCCAAGCACTCATTATGTCGTAGTGCTTTGCATCCTTGGTCTTGTTAAGTTTTCATAAGTTCTTCAGACAAATGGAAATATTATTACTGCCTTGCAGAGGGGGGGACATGCTGCAGATTTCACAGATAGCGGGTGAAAGAGCCAAAACTGCGAGTCGGGCTCCAACTCTGCCGAGGGTGCTGCGGTGCTCGCCTCCTGTCCTGCCCTCTGACCTCACCGCCGACCCTCAGCTGGGTCATTGCTAGCTCCATCTTCCTGACCTTTCCGGTGCATACAGCCTGAGTGGACAGAAGCCCTTTCTTCTCCCACATATATGTATTTAAAGATTTATTTTGGTTGGAAAGGCAAATTTACAGCAAGAAGGAGAGACAGAAAGATCTTCCATCTATTGATTTATTCCACAAATGGCTGCCAAAAGCCAGAGCTGAGCCAATCTGAAGTCGAAACCAGGAACCAGGAGCTTCTTGTTGGTCTCCCCAGGGGTGCAGGGTCCCAAGCACTTGGGCTGTCCTCCTCTGCTTTCCCAGGCAGGGTGGGAAGTGAACATTAACCTGTGCTCATATGGGATCTTGGCACTTGCAGGGAGAGGATTAGTTGATTGAGCCATCATGTTGGACCCATTCTCCCATAACTTGATCTGGTTCCTAGGCCTCCTATCTTCCACCCCTGTTTATTGTTTACAAGGCTTGGACCTGTTTTTCCCTTGTAGTCATCCGCTCCTCCATCCCAACCCTCCTGTGATCATTCGCTGAGTCTGCCATGGCCCATCCACTCCCCTTCTGTTGTGTCCAGTTTTCCTGCTATTTGTGTTTCCTGTGCCTCATCCTTCTGCTGTTACTGCATTCTGCTTCCCTGATAGCTCCCCATGTACTCAGCTGCTCCTGTGTGTCCCATCCTATTTTTCTGGCCCCCTTCCTATAGCTTGTCAGTCACAACCTGCCCTGTGTCCCAACATCCCCCCCCTCCCTTCATGGAGTCTTCTGCTTGTCCCCTACCACCTATGCTTCCTTCTTTTGTGCTCCAGGAGATCAGGATGGTGGGTGAATGTCATGCTGGGGACCTCATGGTGCCCTTAGGCCCCCGGCTGCAGGCATATCCTGAAGAACTCATTCGACAGCGGTCTGGACATGACGGGCATCCTGAATACCTGATCCGATGGAGTGTTCTGAAGTGTGGAGAAGTGGACAAAGCAGGTGTGGAGGAAGGCAAGGCAGAACACATCCTCATGTGGCTGTCAGCCCCCGAGGTCTATGCCAGCTGTCCCATGCTGCTTGGTGAACCAGCGCTGTCTAAGGGACCTCAGAACAAGCTGGCCGGGGCTTCTGGAAGTTTTGCCCGAGACCCAGGAGGCCTGGATGAAGTAGCCATGGGCGAGATGGAGGCTGACGTACGGGCGCTGGTGCGCAGGGCTGCCAGGCAGCTGGCGGAAGGTGGAAGCTCCAACCTCACAGCTGCCGTGCTGCACACCATTCATGTGCTGAGTGCCTACGCCAGCATCGGGCCGCTCACCAAGGTCTTCCGGGAGACGGGAGCCCTGGATCTGCTCATGCATATGCTGTGCAATGCTGAGCCTCAGATCCGCCGGAGTGCGGGCAAGATGCTGCAGGCTCTGGCCGCTCACGATGCGGGTAAGACACAGCTGCGGGCAGAGAAGACAGGCACTGCAGAGTGGAACTGTTGGGTGGAAGAACAGAAAGAAAGGGATTTCCCAGCTCTGTGAAAACACATAGCACTCGATTCATACCAAGTGAGTGCAAAAGACATAGAGATGAATAGTCTGTTATTTTAGGTACATAGGTGGGATCGAATGAGAGCACTGGGTCCATGTGTCCATTCTTAGTGCATGGCAGAGAAGAGAATGGGGAATACATAGGCTTTTTTAAAAAATAAATTTATTTTTATTGCAAAGGCAGGTATACAGAGAGGAGGAGAGACAGAGAGGAAGATCTTCCATCTGAAGATTTACTCTGCAAGTGACTGCAATGACTGGAACTGAGCTGATCCAAAGCCAGGAGCCAGGAGCTCTTCCAGATCTCCCATTCGGGTGCAGGGTCCCAAGGCTTTGAGCTGTCTTCGACTGCTTTCCCAGGCCACAAGCAGGAAGCTGGAACGGAAGTGGGGCCACTGGGATTAGAACCTGCATCCATATGGGATCCTGGTGTGTACCCTGCAAGGCCCTTAGCCTCTGCGCTGGGCCATTGGTTTTTAAGATTTATTTTTTTTAATGGTTCCCAGGAGATTCCATCTGCTGATTCACTCCCTACGTGGCCATAACAGCCATCTCCGTGCCCTGGTAAGCCAGGAACCAGGAGCCAGGAGCTTCATCTGAATTTCCCACATTGAGTGGTGGAGGACCAAACAGTTGGGCCATTTTCTGCTGCTTTTCCCAGGTCATTAACAAGAAGCTGGATCCGAAAGAGGAGTAACTTAAACAGGAGTTGGTCCCCACATGGGATGCTAGTGTTGCCTGCTAAGCCACAATAGTGGCCTCAGGTTTGCATTTTAGAACTATGAGTTGGGCTGACACAGTGGCATGGAGGCTAATCCTTCTTGGCATTGGTATCCCATATGAGCGAGCACACATTCTAGTCTTGGCTACTACCTACATGGAAACCTCAGAAAAAGCTCCTGGCTCCTGGCTTCAGCCTGACCTAGCCCTAGCTATTATCGCTATTTGGGGTGTAAACCAGCGGATGGAAGATCTCTCTGTAACTCTTGATTTTCAAGTAAAATAAATAAATCTTTTCTCTTTTTAAAAAGGTTTATTCATTTTTATTGGAAAGGCAGATATAGAGAAGGAGCTTCAGAGAGGGAAAGATCTTTTCTCTGCTGATTCACTCCCCAAATAGTTGCACTGGCTAGAGCTGAGCCCATTTGAAGCCAGGAACCAGGAATTTCCTCCGGGTCTCCCAAATGGGTGCAGGATCCCAAGGCTTTGGGTCATCCTCGAATGCTTTCCCAGGCCACAAGCAGGGAGCTGGATGGGAAGCAGGACTGCCGGGATTAGAACTGGTGCCCATATGGGATCCTGGTGCGTTCAAGATAAGGATTTATCCATTAAGCTACCATGCCAGGTCCATAAATAAATCTTTAAAAAAAAATAAAACTGAGTTGAGATTGACTAGCTGGTTGTGAAACCAGTTTGATGGGTCACAACTAATTTTGCTTTTAAAATAAAAATATCGGGTCTGGCGCAGTGGCCTAGCAGCTAAAGTCCTCGCCTTGAATGTGCCAAGATCCCATATGGACATTGGTTCTAATCCTGGCAGCCCTGCTTCCCATCCAGCTCCCTGCTTGTGGCCTGGGAAAACAGTTGAGGATAGCCCAAAGCCTTGGGACCTGCACTCACATGGAAGACCTGGAGGAAGTTCCTGTCTCCTGGCTTCGAATCGGCACAGTCTGGCCATTGTGGTTACTTAAGGAGTGAATCATCAGATGGAAGATCTTCCTCTGTCTCTCCTCCTCTCTCTGTATATTTAACTTTACAATAAAAATAAATAAATCTTAAAAAAAAAAAACAGCATTCAAGACTTTGGTAAAGACATGTTTTAGAGACCTCAACATATTTTTTATAGATGTCTGTGTGCTGGGCTAGCAGGTGGAATGTATCTTTTGCTGTGGGTCTTCATCACAGGGAAGTTTGAGTCTTTAGGGAAAGGAATAAAGGGTTAGGATAGGCCAGGAGAAAGGACTGGGGGCTGAAGAAATGCAGATCGGGTGTGGATTGCAGGGAGCCGGGCTCATGTGCTTCTGTCGCTGAGCCAGCAAGATGGCATCGAGCAACACATGGACTTCGACAGCCGCTACACTCTGCTGGAGCTGTTTGCAGAGACCACGTCCTCGGAAGAGCACTGCGTGGCCTTTGAGGGCATTCTTCTGCCGCAGGTACCCTGCCAGCTGGAGCGGGAAGCCAGTGACAAAGGCCAGCACTTGATTTTGGAAACTGTGGTCCAGGCCTGGGCGTCAACACTGGAGGGCCCTGCCCTTTCCCTCCCTTCTCCTCCTCACTACTCCCCACCTCCCACCCCAAGAACTGGTTCAAAGGAAGGTTCATGGCTTTTCTCCCAGCTCCTCTGTGTTCAGAATGCTTGAGATGAGAACCCAGGAAAATTTGTGCTTTAAGACCCTTTTTATATGTTCCTTCCAGAAACAAAAATTTGAGGCCCGCAAGGCCTGGCCTGGGGGATGAGGCCTTTCTGTGTTTCTCCTCAGGGGAGAGTGGAGAGGCTTCAGGCAGGGGGACCAGAGCCTATGCCCAGCATTGTGTCCCGCAGATCCCAGGAAAGCTGCTCTTCTCACTGGTGAAGCGCTACCTTTGCGTCACCTCCCTGCTGGACCAGCTAAACGACAGTCCAGACCCGGGAGCCTGCAACCAAAGCGCCCTGGGCCCCACAAGGCAGAAAAACCGGGGCCAGCGGGAGCTGGAGTTCGGCTTGGCTATGGGCAGCCTCATCTCAGAGCTGATGCGGAGCATGGGCTGGACTGGGCACCTCAGTGAGCAGGTCACACTGCCACCCCGGCCCACCAAGTCCATTTTTCAACCCTGCCTTTCCTGCCCTCCCCTGCTCCTCCCCACCATCGTCACCACCCCTAAGAGGCCAGAACGGGCCTTCCGGCAGCGTGTGGAATTCTCCAGCCTCAGCGGCTACGGTGAGTACGTGCAGCAGGCTCTGCAGCCGGGGATGCGTGTGCGGATGCTGGATGACTATGAGGAGATCCGTGTTGGGGACAAGGGCGAGTTCCGGCAGAGCAACAGCGGCATGCCACCTGCGCAGGTGAGTGTGACCCATGGGGGTGGCATGCTTTTGGGTGGAGTGTAATCAGAGCTTCCATGAAGGAGGCTATTGGTAAGAAAAAAATCCCAGGAGAACTGGAATGATTTTATCTTTTTAAGAGGGTCAGCAATTGAGAGGGTTAAGAAATCCTGCTGAAGGGCCTGACGCAATGACTCATTTCGTTGAATCCTCACCTTGCAAAGCATCAGGATCCCATATGGGCACCAGTGTGTGTCCCGGCTGCTCCACTTCCCATCCAGCTCTCTGCTTGTGGCCTGGGAAAGTGGTAGAGGATGGCCCAAAGCCTTAGGACCTTGCACCCACATGGGAAACCCAGAAGAGGCTCCTTGCTTTAGATCAGGTCAGCTCTGGTCATTTTGGCCATTTGGGGAACAAACCAGCAGATGGAGGATCTTTCTCACTTGTCTCTCCTTCTCTGCAAATCTGATCTCCCTTTCCAATAACATAAAGAAATCTAAAAAAAAGAAAGAAAGAAAAGAAAAGAAATGCTGTTGAGTTGAGTGAGGGCCTGGAAAGACTTGCCCAGGAAGTGGTATGTGTATATATATACACATACATATATGTATACATACACACTATATTTATTAATTTCTTTTGAAAGACAAAGAGAGGGAGAGACGCAACATCTTCCATCTGCTAGTAAAATCTCCAAATGGTCAGAAGTCAGAGCTGAAGCCAGGAGCTAGGAGCTAGGAGCTAGGAGCTTCTGGGTGCAGGAGCCCAAGCCCTTGGGACATCCTTCACTGATTTCCCAGGTGCATTGGATCAGAAATGAAACAACTGTGATTCGAACCTGTGCCCATATGGGATGCTGGCATTGCGGGCAGTAGCTTTACATGCTACGCCACAGCACCACCCCTCAAACTGATGTGTTGAGATGCTCCATCATCCCACCAGCCCCAGTGGAGAGGTCTAGGAGGGAGGCAGACTGCAGAGGCCCGAGGGCCCATCCTGCCTAGTGGGAGAAGCCTTCTGTGCTGCGGAGGATTTTCCAAGCCCATAGAGGAGGCATGGGCGAGGGCGTGGCCCTATCTGGATCTGAGCATGTCCTCTCAAGACAACAGTGCGTGGCTCAGAACCCTCAGTCCTTTCTCCGTTTCTCTTCCCACTCTTCCTCTCATGCCAGGTCTTTTGGCAGTCAACGGGCCGCACCTATTGGGTACCTTGGCACATGCTGGAGATCCTGGGCCCTGAGCAAGCTTCTGGGGATTCGGCCTCTGCAGCCGTGCAGAAGGGGACAGGAGCCGCTGTCTCAGGCACAGGTGAGCCCAAGGGACAGGAGTGTGTGTCTGCACAGAGGAAGCGTGACCAGGCTGAAGCCGCTTACAAGCAGCAGAAGCTACCCCTCTGGTTGCCCTCTCCAGCCTGCTACCCCCTGGCAGGTGCTCACAGTCCTGCGCCTCCATCCTCAACTCTTCTCACGTGTTCCCAGCAGGTGCTCACAGTCCTGCGCCTCCAGTCTCAGCACTTCCCACGTGGGACTGGAAGCCTGTGGATGGGCTCTACTCTCTGCCCTACCTCCAGCCTGAACCCCAGCAGAGCGAGGAGGTGGGGCACCTGACCAAGGCAGAGTGGTGGGAGCTGCTCTTCTTCCTAAAGAAATTGGATGCAAGTGAGCAGCAGCCAATTTTCCAGAATATCCAGGAGAAACTGGATAAGGTACTAGAGGTCCGCAGTTAACCTTCGCCGGGGGTGGGGGTGGTGTCGTTCGTGAGCGGTGGGGCTCTCTAGAGAGAATTCTAGCCCAGGATTGTCCCTGCAGGGAGGCTAGAACTACAGGTTGGAGGATTCTGCTTGGGCCAGAGGCAGATGCAATGAGGGTCTAGAATGTGGGAGGTGTGAGGCTTGAAGCAGGATGACCACCCTTCTCCCGGCTGTCAGTGGACCTTCGTGTCTACCTGTCATCGACGTCCATGCCTCTTATGCCAACAGACGCTGAGGGGAAAGACCCTGGGGGACTTGTCCGTGCCTGTTGAGATGGCAGAAGACCTGCTGCGCACCCTCGCTAACCGCTTTGAGGGCCATACCCTCAGTGAGCTGCTCAGCTCCCAGGTCTATGCCAAGTACAGGCTCCCAGCTGAAGAGCTGAGCAGCTCTCTGTCTTCCCGGAGTCACTGCCGGACCCCAGATCCAGGAGAGGACTGCCGGGTGGAGGCCAGCTCCTCGGAGGACGAGGCTGAGCCTCACAAAGCAAAGGCTGAGCTCCCCGAGGCAGAGACCCGGCCCGCCAAGGCCAAGGCCAAGCCCCTGGTGGCACAGAGCGACTCCCAGCTATTTAACCATCTTCTGGTGACTGAGGGCATGACCCTGCCCCCTGAGGTGAAGACAGAGGCCAATGGTGAGTCGAATTCTGGAGGAGGTGTGAATGGGCCAAGTTGTTGGACTAAGCCCTGGATGGTCTTTGTAGCAGAAATAGGGTACAGGGAAAGGCGTGGAGTTAGGTCACCATGTGCCTGTCTGTCCTTTGACCTTGGTGATGCCTGTTAGCCTTCACTCCTTTTCTTCAGCATCTTTGGGAAAGGGGAGTTTGTTTCCCAGGGCAGCTTCATCTTCTTTGATAAGACCCTTTGCTCTGAATTGGAAAGGTTCTACAATGTGAGCTACAGCCAGGAATAACCTTATCTCAGTGTTGGTGGGCAAACTAGTCATGACATTTCTAGAGACTTCCAGTCTGTAGGTGTTACAGTCCATCTGACCAATGTCTCCCCCCCAACCTGACTGATTTCAGTAATGGCAAGAGCCCTGCAGGGTCCTGGCCCACGCAGCTCCCTGGATCGGCATGTGGTGGCGGTCGTGGCCACCGTGCAGATATCCAGCGTGGACACAAACCTGCAGCTTTCAGGGCTGTCAGCCCTCTTGCAGGCTGTGGAGGAGGCCACTGAGCAAGACCATCCTCTGGTCCGACCCGACAGATCACTGAGGTTAGCATACCAGAGAGGAGGGGGTGTGCGTTAAAGCTGTGTGCACAGAAATGTGGTCACAGGAGGCAAGGAGTGATGAGATCAAGAGTTAGAAAGGCTGGAGGGGGTTGGCAAAAGAAGCAATGGGCACAAGGAGGGGGGTGGGGTATTAAAGGTGGCTGGTATTCGCAGGGTGTTCCTAAATGCCAGGCACTGTGTTGGCATTGTGCATTCTCATTACATCTGCCCATCAACTGAGCAAGTGTTGTTATTGCATTTGATGGGTGAGAAAGTGAAACTTAGAGAATTGAAGTAGCTCGCTTGGAATTTTACAGATGGCAAATCTGTGATTGAAACCAGTATCTTTTTGGTATTAGAGCTTGAGGTTTTTTGTTGTTTTTTTTTTTAATTTGTCCCCACTTTCCTTTTCTATTTTCTCCTGCTATTTAGTTGCACAAATAATATGCAGGTGCATTCTTACTTTAAAAAGACCTGAAGAATCTGAGCGAACATATAATGAAAAAAGCAAAATAGTTTTTCAGCGCTATACCTTTCAGGTCTTTGTTGATGTGCTTTTGTAACAGTGTGCAAATAGAGAATTTCCCAAGCTTGTGTTTTTAATGTAGTCACACTCGTTTTTGTGTCCCTGTGTCTCAGAAGCTTGGCTGTGCTGCTCCCCATAAGGCTACCTTATTATTGGTCCTGCTGCATAGGACCATGGTGCAGTTATGACCAAGTTCAAGTACAGTGTTCTGATGCATCTATTTTCCCAGACCTCTGCCCACGCTGGATATTACATTTATAATCAACCAGATTGGCAAAATGTATTAGTAGCTCTGTATTCTCTTAGTTCCGGTAAAGTTGGGCATCTTTGCATGTACTTGTTCTCTTTCTTCTATAAAAACTCTGCTTCTGTCCTTTGCCCACTTTTAAAATTGGGGCTGCCTATTTTCGTGTGGATTTATAGGATAGATGTGAATTCTTTGTTTTTCAAATATTTTGCTTGCCTTTAAAAAAATCGTATCAGCTTTATTTTTTTGTGATTTTTAAAATCCTATTTTCTGTAGGCAAAATTGGAAAGACAGCAGTCCCTTCTGTAGAGATAGTCCGTTAACGATTTGCTAGTCACCCTTTTAGTTTTGTACCTGCATTCTGTATCTGTGTACATTACTCTTGTACGTTAACTAGTTTGTAGTAAACCATGGCTCCCGAAGGGTAATACGCCAGGTTCACACTACAGTCATCATGTGGCTTCTGAGAGGAGGAAGGTAAAAACAGTTTTTTAGGAGCCTTCATTCACCTGCTTTCCCAGCAGTCCTTCATTCAAGTCTTTCCTTCCAGGGTTCTGGGCCACCCCTCTGGCTGCTGTCCACATCTGTCTTTGCCCCTTTGGCCTTCCCTCTTGCTCTACTCTCCGACCCCCCCCCCCTTTTTTTTTTTTTAGCTCATATTGCTTGTCTCCTAATTTTGTTCATAGTCCCTTTCACTGTCCTGAAGTTCTAGGTATTTAGGGTGCAGTACTTTTCAGCTTTTTTATGGCTTCCAACAATTTTGATCTTATTGAGAAGCTCTGTCCTCAGCATTTTACAAATTTCTCCAAGATTATATAATCCACCCCCCCCATAGTTTCAAAGATATCTATGATATCTATGTAGCTACCTACATCCATTTTAAAATCCCTTTGCAACTTGTTTTCTGTCGATAGTGTAGAGTGTATCTCCAGCTTCAGTTTTCTTTGCATGGATAACCAGGTGTTTTGACACCCCATTCATTTCATCCTTAACATTTTAGTGTATTTATTTATTTTGCTGAAGAAACAGAGATCTATCTTTCTTTGGCTGGTGGATCTTCTAAAGGCTTGTAACAGCTGGGACTGGCACAGGCAGAAGCCAGGAGCCTGGAACTCCATTTGGGTCTCCCACGTGGGTGGCAAGGATCCAAGTCCTCGAACCACCTCATGTTGTTTCCCAGGCTCCATACTTTCAGGCAGCAGGGGCTCAAGAGTGGAGCTTAGAGCCAAACCCAGGCACACTATGGGATGCAGGCATCCCAAACAGCATCTTAACCCTTGTGCCAACCACCCACCCCAACGACAGATTGTACAGTTTTCTAAAAAGTTATTTATTTATTTGAAAGGGAGAGTGACACAGAGAGAGCTGAGAGTGGGAGTGGATGGAGCTGGAGGAGATTTATATTCCATGCATCGGTTCACTCTTCAGATGCCGATGCCTGCAAGTTAGGACTGGGCCAGGCTGAAGCCAGGAGCCAGGAGCTCCTGCCATGTGGGTGGCAGGAACCCAAGTACCTGAGCATGCTGCCTCCCGAGTGTATTAGCAGATTTGCAAGCAGAGGCAGTACTGGGTCCCACACACTCCAATATGAGACACAAGCATCTCAAGCAGTAGCTTAACCTATTGTGTTATAACCTCTGCCCCCTGTCTTCCCTGACCCATGCCTCCTGATACCACATTGTAATTGGTACATTTTTTTTTTCAATCACTGGCTGAGATGATGGCCTTATCTCTCCTGCCATCTGCTTGGTTACTCTACATCAATTCCATCAATTCCAGGATTTTGATTTGCGTGTGTTTATTAGCTGCATCTTGATAACCTTAAGGCAAATTCACCGTGATTTTTTCCCAAACATTTCTTAACTATTGCATATTTTCTTTCTGTGCCTGAATCATCCTATTGTAGCTTTCAAAGACCTTTTAGGCATTTTGATTAGAAATCACATCGAATTTATGATTTATTTGAAAAGATGAACCAGGGTTTCTAACCATTCTGCTCTCCTGCCACTTGGTAAGGGATGATCCAGGACTAGTGAGATTGTGGGGTGAAGTGTAGAAAGGATTCAGAAGAAAACTGAGGCAAGCAGATTGGGAGTGCGGTGGGGAAATGGATGAGGTCTTGTGGATGGGGTTGGGCTGGAGTCAGATGATGTCATAACTGGGAAGTCAGGTAAGACTCCTTGGGATGGGGAATCACCTTGCCTCTTCTCTTCTCAGAGAAAAGCTAGTGAAGACGCTAGTGGAACTGTTAACCAACCAGGTGGGAGAGAAGATGGTGGTGGTGCTGGCCCTGCGACTCCTCTACCTGCTCATGACCAAGCATGAGTGGCGTCCGCTCTTTGCCAGGGAGGGCGGCATCTACGCTGTGCTGGTTTGCATGCAAGAATATAAGACTTCCGTTTTAGTGCAGCAGGCAGGACTGGCGGTGAGTGCACACAGGGCCTGACAGGAGAGAGCAATGGGCAAGACAGGCAGATGGATATGGAGGGGATTGCTTATGATGTACTATGGAGATCTAGAACCAGGTGCGGACATTGGGATGGGACGGTACGGGTGGATTTTTCAGGCTGCTTATTCTTGGAGACTGTGGGCATGTTTAGAAGTGAATTGGTGGGTGTCTCTCTCCCCTTTCGAGAGGCACCCCACCTCCCAGCTTTCTTTCTGGAGGTGCTTCCCCTTCCCTCTTCCTTCCCTGCTCACCTGGTCCCTTCGCAAATAAACTTTTCTATCAGCAACAGAAAAAAAAAAAAAGAAAGAAAGAAAAAAAAGAAGAAGTGAATTGGTAAGGATGATTCCCAAGCTTAAAATTGAGCAGCCTGGGGCATGAGGTGGCTACTTACCCAGGGAGTGCAATAAGAGTTAGCAGGAGAAGGCTGGGAGTTGAGTTTTGGGATATATTGACTGTCCCAGGTCTTTTAGTTAAATCAGTGAGGTATCCAATGAAAGGTGAAGTCTCCTAGATATAACATAAAACTAAAAGTGTTTTGGTTTGGTTTTTTTGTTTTACTCTTTTTTTCTGAGTGATGCCCCTAGACAGAGGAAACGCCCTCACCAAATTGGGTGAAACAAAGCCAGCAGTGACATTGCCCTGCTACCCTGCCCAGAGAACAGGGAAGGGAGACTGTTGGTCAGGCGAGCTTACCGAAGAGTCTACTTCCTAACTCTTCCAGCCTGAAGTGCTGCCTAGTGGGGTGGGTAGGGTTGCAGGCAGCGGGTGCTGTCTGGCCCGAGGTCCCCGAGGGAGGCAGATCAGGCGTAGCTGGACCAGTTTGGGATTGCGACAGGATAATGGCCACCAGATGGAGGGGGACGCAGGTTCTCTCAGAGCAGACAGTCCTGGGAAAGGCCGAGAGACTCTCCTTTTTGGGAATAACTTAGGGTCTCTGCCTGCTGCAAATAGCCAGGCATTCAGACTGTGTGCATTCAGAGAACTTTCTGATCCCCTCAAATTAGGTGAGCAGAATGCACTGTTTTACTATAAAATTCAAATTCTTGCCCTGCAGCAAAATTCCATCACATTGTTTATAACTTCATATCTGGCTGTAGTATTCAGCTAATTGAAACAGATTGGGGCAACAGAAGGGGGAAAGACTCTTGGATAGCTGTTTTCTGGAGGACCTGGGGGTCCTGGCCTAGCCAGGGTGATGGTCCTTAGCGTCAGTCCTAGCTCGGTGTGTGTCCCTAGCAGGTGTCCTGGCATCAGCCCTGGTCAGCAGGAGAGATGTCCTCCACACTTGGGGCATAGTGTTCACTTTAATTTGATTTTTCCCCCAATAGGACTAGCAAGTGACTTTCCACATTACAAATAGTTCTTCTTTGCTTCTGACCATGCTGCCTTGTTGAGGAAGGCCGATGCTGGCTAAGGCCGGGGCACACAGGCTTGGGAGTGTTAGCATCCACTGGGAACAGAAGTTTGAAAGTAAACAAGAGGTTGCCTGGGGAGTGAGCACAGAGTAGAGAAAGGGAGCAGGAAGTTCAGGACCAAGAGGAGAACCAAGAGGATAAGAAGTCAGAGAATTCAGGGGGTAAAGGAAGGCAGGAAGGGCCAAGGGAGATAGCTTGCAGGAAAGCCTCAAGACCTGGGTGCTGTGGGAGGACAGCACGAGAAGAAGGCAGGGAGGGAGAGGCAGGTTTTCTCCGCTAGGCTTCATTCCGAGAGCACAGAGCAGGGAGAAAGGGCAGGCTGATTTTACTCCCCAGCCTTAAGATTTTGTTGTTGGCTTTGCTTTCTTCCCTTCCTTCCTCCCTCCCTTCTAATAGCCTGGCCTCCTTCCTCCCCCTGCCCCTCCCCAGTATTTGCTGTCCCATCAGTACCTTTTCCATTCCCATCTCCTACTTTACCTGTTTGTTGGCCCACAGTTCAGCAGCTCCCACGTCTGAGGTTGAGGATGGTGGCCCTGACCGTCCTCTTCCTCACAGAGGCTCTGTCCACTCTCTCTCTCTCTTTTTTTTTTTAAAGAATTATTTATTTTATTACAAAGTCAGATATACAGAGAGGAAGAGAGACAGAGAGGAAGATCTTCTGTCCGATGATTCATTCCCCAAGTGAGTGCAACGGCCGGTGCTGCGCCGATCCGAAGCTAGGAATCAGGAACCTCTTCTGGGTCTCCCGCACGGGTGCAGGGTCCCAAAGCTTTGGTCCATCCTCGACTGCTTTCCCAGGCCACAAGCAGGGAGCTGGCTGGGAAGTGGAGCTGCCGGGATTAGAACTGGTGCCCATATGGGATCCCAGAGTGTTCAAGGCGAGGACTTTAGCTGCTAGGCCACTGCGCCAGGCCCGGCTCTGTCCACTCTTAACTCTGCTCCCATGTTCCTCTTGCAGGCCCTGAAGATGCTGGCCGTGGCCAGCTCCTCGGAGAGCCCCACTTTCATTGCCAGCCGTGGGCCCATCCAGCCTTTGTTTGATGCCCAGATGACAAGAGAGATCTTTGCCAGCATCGACTCGGCCACCCGCCCAGGCTCTGAGAGCCTGCTCCTTACCATCCCTGCAGCTGTAGTCCTGATGCTGAACACAGAGGGGTCAGGCATTTCCTTGCAATCTGCCCATTCCCTGCCAAGGCCCAGATGCCCCTACTCCTACCCCAACTCCTCTGCCGAGGCTCCTGTGCTCCACAGAAATTGCCCTCATATTGTCATTCTTAGATTAAACGTGGGCAGGCTGCACTGACTCTCTGCAAAAGAGAGGCCAAGTTGTTGGAAGCAGAGAGATTCATCCCAAGAGGGAAGAGAGACCCAGACCCTCTTTCCTTGGATTGGAAGGAGCGGCCTGAGGTCAGGAGAGTCAGATGTGTGGCTCCAGGGGACCCCAGGACCCGTGCATGTTTGCTTCCCTGCTTCCCTTGCATTCACTGTCAGTCGCTTCCCTCCTCCCAGGTGCTCTTCTGCAGTGAGGAATGGGTTGCTCCTGCTCGACCTGCTTTTGTGTAACCACCACACCCTGGGAGACCAGATCATAACCCAAGAGCTCAGAGACACTTTGTTTAGACACTCTGGGCTAGCACCGGGGACGGAACCCGTGCCTACCACACGTACCATCCTCTCGATGCTTCTTAATCGCTACTCAGAGGCACCTGGCAGCCCCGAGCACACAGGTAACTGTCATGGCGGGGGGAGAGAGGGAGCTGTGGTGGTGTTCGCTGTGGCAACTTGTGGCCACCAAGACTGAGGTTTCCATACCAGCCCCTTCCTGCAAACACGCCGGACGTCCTGACCAAGAGAAGAGAAAAGGTCTAGCATAGGGAAAAAAAATTGCCTCCTCGGAATGGCCTTAAACGTACATCTGCGTTAGACTAGGCTTAGTCTGATTTTATTGGATGATAGAAAGGGTTGAAATGAAGGCTGGGGAGACCCTCGTGAGAGGAGTTACCATTTATATGGTACAGCAAATCTGTGGCTGAGAACATGAAATGCTGATGTCCCTTTGGGTTTAAAAGCCAGTGACAACTCAGAAGTGTGGCAGGGACAGCTCAGTGAATAATGTGTTCTTTTAGTTCCCTTCCCTGAAGCCATGCTAACAGTATGGGTGCGTACTCATAATAGCTAATGTTTATTACAACAGCTAATGTTGGAGAAGGCTAGCATTTAATTTTTATCTAATAAAAAGTAATCTATGATGATATGAGATTAAAACATCTATTGGGTGTAACTTGACCAATGTTTGCTATGCTAAATTTTTTTTTCAAGTGTGGTTAGGTATATATTTGAGGCCAGAAAATAAGATCCTTTAAAGTTTGTTTAAACAAAACAAAAACAAAAATGCCAAAAGCCAAAAAAACTGTAAGCCTCCTCAGCATGGGGGGAACATTTTAGCATGATTTTCTGAACCATCCCAGTTTTCAGCTTGACCAACTTGTAAGAATCCTCTTTGTACCCATTTCCTTCCCCCTGGTGTGTCTGGGCTTCAGCAGTGGAGACCTCCAGCACCCAGAGCCAGGAAGGGACCCCTGAACTGCTGATGCGGTCCCTGGTAGGGGGCCCATCCACGGAGCTGCTGCTGGACCTGGAGCACGTGCTGTGCCACGAGGGCAGCCCAGGGGAGGCCGTGCGGCCCCTCCTCAGGCGCTTGCAGCAAGAGACCCAGCCCTTCCTCCTGTTGCTGCGCACGCTGGATGCCCCAGGGCCCAACAAAACTCTGCTGCTGATTACTCTGAGGTGAGGGGCCAGAAGGTGCCTGCTCACCCACACGGGGTGGAGGGAAGCCGGCAGCATGTCCTCCTCGTCGGGACTTGCCCTGCTTCCATCTCTCCCCCAGGGTCCTGGCCCGACTGCTGGATTATCCCGAGGCAATGGCCCTCCCCTGGCATGAGGTCCTGGAGCCCTGCCTCAGCTGCCTGAGCGGGCCCAGCAGTGACTCAGAGGTACCAGAGCACCACTGAAGGAGTGTGTGAGGCAAGGGAGGCAGCTTCTGGGGGACCTGCCAGCTTGGGAGGTTCTGAGCATGATACCCCTGCCTGTCTGAACCCATGTGTGGCACTGGGATGGAGATAGGAAGAGGAAGGCTAATGTCGTGTAATAGTTTCTGAAACTGGGACCTTTTTGTTATAAACCTTTGGGCTACTCCTGGGTGTTCTGAATTTAGGAGAAGCCCATACTCACCACACCAGTCTTTGGTCTCTACCCTTCAGGGTTGTGTAGTGCCCTGTGGAGGGAGGCTGAGGTACCACAGTCGGCTCTTAAGATACAGCTTGGCCCTGGCAGGAGGAAGGCTTGGTAGCTGTGCCCAGCCTTTGCCTCTGCCAGTTGGGGTCCCAGTGCTCCCAGGGTGTCTTGGGTACTCTCCTTCCCTTGGGCTTTCAAAACTTTCTGCAAGACCTCAGCCAGCAAACTTCCCTAACTAAAGCCAGCCATCAGCCTGTGGTCTCCCATCAGTGAGCCTGTGTGACTCTGGCTTCAGATTGTTCAGGAGCTGATCTGTTTCCTGCACCGGCTGGCCTTGACACATAAGGACTATGCGGTTGTGCTCTGCTGCCTGGGAGCCAAAGATACCCTCTCCAAAGTCCTGGACAAGCACCCGGCCCCGCTGCTGCTGGGCTGTGAGCTACGGGACCTGGTGGCAGAGTGTGAGAAGCATGCCCAGCTCTATAGCAGCCTCACCTCCAGCATCCTGGCGGGCTGCATCCAGGTGAGTGGCCATGGGCTCAGAGCTGAGGGAGCATAAGCCAGGAAGCAGAGGACCAGAACTTGGGGTGTTTTCTTCTTTAGGATCCCCATGTGAGGGGGTTGACATCCACTCAGGGGTGCCTGCTCCCTAATGTGTGCTCCATGGGGCCCTTTCAAAATCTGTAGAGAAGGGAAGAAGAGTTCTGTTGCACCTGGACTTCTCTGCTCTACCTGTTCCTGGGTATCTTCTTATGTCACTCTCTCTCTAATGCAGATGGTGCTGGGCCAGATTGAGGACCACAGACGGACCTACCAGCCCATCAACATCCCCTTCTTTGATGTGTTCCTCAGACATCTCTGCCAGGGTCAGTGCCCACCCCCCTTTCCTCAGCCTTCCTGCTTCCCCTGGTTCTGCCCCTTTTGCTCCTCTCAGCTCACCAGCTTGTGCCCTCCACCCTTCCCTGGTTCTCCCCCACCATAGGCTCCAGTGTGGAAGTAAAAGAGGACAAGTGCTGGGAGAAGGTGGAGGTGTCCTCCAACCCGCACCGGGCCGGCAAGCTGACGGACCGCAACCCCAAGACCTACTGGGAGTCCAACGGCAGTGCTGGCTCCCACTTCATCACCTTGCACATGCATCGTGGTGTTCTTATTAGGTGTGAGCATACTTATGTCCATGCACATAAGTATAACATACAAATAAACATATACACTCACAGATATTCTGGTATGCTGCAAAACATATCCCAGAAAAATCCACCTGCACCACTCCATCCATAGCCCCCGTGCCTGAGGGATGCACTCAGACTCATTTTGTGTCATGAACACCTTGACACATCGACGTGCTTTGCTGTGTCTCATACAGAATAGATGTCTTTAATCCCTGCACCTGGTGACCTGTATCCCAGCAGGTACAGATGCCACCATTCTGTGTGTTGAGGGACATCAGCAGCTCACTTGTCCATGCTTCCTGTTGGCATTTGTTTAATGCCAAGCATTGGACAACAAGTTAGGATACCCATATTCCTGGAGCTTACAGTGCAGCTGGGGAACCGGGCTAGGAAATCAGAGCACCGAGTATGAAAAAAGCATCACAGCTGATCCAGGGTCCAGATCCTGAGGCTATTTGAAGGGTCAGAGGTGGATTTCTTCTGGAAGGTGGATTTCTTCTTCCTAAGTAGAGTCTTGAAGTCCAAGCTCACCAGGTCAAGAGGAGACAATGACTGTTGCAGACAGAGGGACAGTGTCAGTGCAAGAGGGAATGTAGGATGCTGCAGTGGAGTGGGATTTAAGTGTGTCATGTGTCTCAGTGTGACAGGAGGTGAGGCCATGAGAGTGGGCAGAGACATTTCCCAGAGTTTGTAAGCTAAGAAGTTCAAAGTTGATTTCAAAATTTGAAAAGGGGAAGAGACACATTAGGCTTTTATTTAGAAGAGCTCACTGTGGCAGGAGGGAGAGTCGTTAGTTGTATGCCGTGGTCTGGCTGGGAAAGGTTCAGTATGGCTGGTGAGGAGGATTGAGGTTAAGGCTACACGAGGGTGCTAGGAGGTATCCTTCAGGACTTATTGGTGGACAGATGAGGGCAGCTGTGCGAGGGATGTGTCCCCAGGTACAGGATGTGGCAGAGTGAGCACTGCAGGAGAGAGTAGAGGGGACAGGTAGGAGATTATTCCACTTGGGCCCATTAACTTGGAGGTGCCCATGGGACATACGTAATAGGGAGTGTCTGTCTGTTGTGTGGCCAGTATAAGAGCAGAAAAGAGCCGCCTGGGTAGAGCTGTGTGCTTGAAGTCTTTGGGTATTGTTTTCAGCTGAAGCTGTGGGTTTCATTGAGGTCCTTGGCAGGAATGTTAAGGGACAAACCAAGCACCTGGGGAATGGCGGATGTGTCAGTGGCCTGTGAGGGAAGGGATGGGTGGATGTAGTTTTGATCTGAGCCTCTGTCCTGCTGGGACTGACTCGCCTCTCCTCTCTCAGGCAGCTGACTCTGCTGGTAGCCAGTGAGGACTCCAGCTACATGCCAGCGAGGGTGGTAGTGTTTGGGGGCAGCTGTGCCAGCTGTGTCTTCACTGAGCTCAACACGGTGAGCACTCTTGGTTCCCCTCCCTTCTCCTTACTTCCCTGTGTGTGTCTCAGGGAAGGAGCCAGGACCTAGAGAGGAGCTGCCCCTCTCTTCCTCCTTGGAAGTGGCAAGAATGGACTCAGATGTGGCAGGGGCATGTGTCATGGCCATGTGGCCGCTGTCAGCAGTCCCTCCAGCCCACCTGAGTGGTGAAGGCTCACTCTCCTACCTCTTCTCCCCTGCTCTGCCAGGTGAATGTGTCACCTTCTGCCAGCCGTGTGGTTCTGTTGGAGAACTTGACCCGCTTCTGGCCCATCATCCAGATCCGCATCAAGCGCTGCCAGCAGGTGTGGGGTGGGGAAGGTCACGGGGGGCCGTGGACCCGGGGTCTGTAGAGCAGCTGTAGGTATACTGTGATGCTTGGAGGCTGTGGCTTTAGCCACGGCTCCTCCTCCATCTGCCTGGTCTAGGCCGGGGAACGAGTTGAGCTGCCGAGATATGGAGATATCCAGAACAGTTATGGGAAACTGAGGACATTGAGGCTTTGGCTTTGGTGGCTCAGATGACAGAGAAGTCTGTGTACGTCCCACTGCAGGGTGGTATCGACACCCGGGTCCGGGGTGTGGAGGTTCTGGGCCCTAAGCCCACTTTTTGGCCACTGTTCCGGGAGCAGCTGTGTCGCCGTACGTGTCTCTTCTACACAATCAGGGCACATGCCTGGAGCCGGGACATAGCAGAGGACCACAAGCGCCTCCTTCAGCTCTGTCCCAGGTGGGTGGGGCCGGAGGGGGAAGATGGTGAGGGGAATTGGCTTGCCACAAGATGCAGGTGGAGAGAGAGCAGCCCCTTGTAGGAGTGTGGAAGGGTAAAGGTCAGCCAGGCCCTGGGTCAGGGCAGAGAGGGAATGAGCACAGGTGAGAAGTATGTGCTGCTGACAGTGGAGCCTTGGGGAAAGCGACAAGCAGGGGAGATGGTGAGTTGCCATGCACTCAAGTGGAGGAGATCTGTGCCTTTAATCCTTGACCACACACTGTTTCTAGACTGAACAGGGTATTGCGACATGAGCAAAATTTTGCGGATCGCTTCCTTCCTGACGATGAGGCCGCCCAAGCACTGGGCAAGACCTGCTGGGAGGCCCTGGTCAGCCCCCTGGTGCAGAACATCACCTCCCCCGGTAACCGTTCCCCCTGCTGGTCCCACTAACCAGCCCCTCTAATCATGCCTAGGGATCACCTGAGTTAGTCCTCTCTGTTCCTGTCACCTCAGTATCCCTCTGTCTTTCCTGCCTCAGGTACTGCTCCCTGAGACTGGTGTTTGAATCCTCCTATCCCCGCCACCTTGTTACCATGTCCCTGGACTCCAGACTCCAGTGCAGCAAGCCCCTTCCCCGCCACCCCCGACCCCTAAACCTTGCTGGGCAGTTGCTGCTTCTCCTGCTTGCTCTCTGGGCTAGCCGTCTTTTCTTCCACGGAGACCTGTTCCCGACCCACCTTCTTTCAGATGCCGAAGGTGTCAGCTCTCTAGGCTGGCTGCTGGATCAATACTTGGAGCAGAGAAAGAGCTCGCGGAGTCCCTCAAGCCAAGCAGCATCCTTCACTTCCTGCGTCCGTCGCCTCTGTCGCTTGCTGGTGCATGTGGAGCCACCCCCGGGGACTTCCTTGGAGCTGCCCACTCGGCCCTGTAAGTTCCAGCTTCAGCCAGTTGAACCAAGGCCAGGGGTGGGGAATCCTCTTTCTGCCAACACCATTTGGATATGTATGACATCATTCATGGGCCTGACAAAATAATCAGCTTTTAAAAAAATGAAATCAGCCTGCTGTAGATTGATTGACTTTTGAGTCCCTCCTGCAGTTGCCTTGGCAGGGCAAGGCCAAGTGACCATGCCAGGGCCAGACATGCCCCACCCCAGGAGGTACCTGGTTTCCCTCTCTTCCTGCTCCGCTCTGGGCCTCGCCAGAAGGCTAGTGCCCACGGCTCCTCATTGCATCTGGAGACAGATGTTACAAACCATCCCTCTGCCTCATGTCTCCATAGTCAGCAAAAACAGTAAGGGTCAGGACCGCAGCCCCACACCATCGCCAGTCCTCCCAAGCAGCAGCCTGAGGAACATAGCCCAGTGCTGGTTGAGCGTGGTGCAGGAGCAGGTAGGCCAAAGTCAAGGAGGGCCCGGTGGCTAGGGGTGGGATGGGGTGGGGTGGCACCACCACTCTTTGGAATCCCTCATCCTGTTCCCTTCAGGTCAGCAGATTCCTAGCTGCGGCCTGGAGATCCCCAGACTTCGTGGCTCGTTACTGCAAGCTCTACAAGCACTTGCAGAGAGCAGGCTCTGAGCTGTTTGGGCCGCGGGCCGCTTTCACACTGGCCCTGCGCAGTGGCTTCTCTGGCGCCTTGCTGCAGCAATCCTTCCTCACGGCTGCTCACGTGAGTTCCGCCAGCCTTCCCATCATTCCATTTTACTCTCCCTTCCCTCATGAATGCCCAGAACCCTTTCCATTGTCCTCCAGATGAGCGAACAGTTTGCTAGGCACATTGACCAACAGATCCAGGGTGGCCTGCTTGGTGGAGCTGCTGGAGTGGAAAAGCTGGAGCGACTTCAGCAACACCTGGAGCCCATCATGGTCCTGTCTGGCCTGGAACTGGCCACCACTTTTGAGCACTTCTACCAGTGAGTCCAGCTCAAAAGGGGTGGGGTTCGGGGAAAGGGGTGAGCACTGGAAGGCTTGCACTCCAGGGAGAGGCAACACTTGAGTTTTAGAGAGAAGATAAGGGAATTGGCAGTGGGCAGGTGAGATTAAGATGTGGAGAGGGTCGTGCACCAGTGGGAAGGGAGAGGTAGAGAGAGGGTGAGGTAGGGCCTGTGCCTGGGGCTGTCTATTAACAGGGATCTACAGACAGATGTGGGAGGCTGGGCTTGGACCTGGGCTGTCCTGGCACCCACCCTGAGGCCAGGTTTGGACTGTGTATGTATGTGTGTGTGTGTGTGTGTGCTGCAGGCACTACATGGCGGACCGTCTCCTGAGCCTGGGCTCCAGCTGGCTGGAGGGGGCCGTGCTGGAGCAGATCGGCCTGTGTTTTCCCAACCGCCTGCCCCAGCAGATGCTAAGGAGCCTGAGCACCTCTGAGGAGCTGCAGCGCCAGTTCCACGTGTACCAGCTCCAGCAGCTTGATAAGCTGCTCCTGGAGCGCGAGGGTGAGGAGGAATGGGGACCGGCAAAAGAGGAGGTAAGAGTGCAGGGAAAGAGTGGGAGAATAGGAGAGTGGCACAAGATGGGAGCCAAGGGTCCTCAGAACCCTTCTGTTCTTCAGGAGGAAGAGGAGACTGAGAAGGAACCATTTCCTGAAGATCCCCATCCATTGATTTCCATGCTGGTCCTGTCACCTCGATGTTGGCCAGTGTCCCCACTCTGCTATCTGTACCATCCCAGGAAGTGTCTTCCCACCAAATTCTGTGATGCCCTGGACCGGTTCTCCAGCTTCTACAGCCAGAGTGAGGCTCTAAGGAGAGGAAGCCAGATACGGGGATGAGATTTGGGGTGGCAAGAGGGGAAAAGAAGAGGACCATGGGTAGGCGTCGGCGGGAGTAAAGAAAAGTAGTCTGCAGGGACAACAGTCTCCCAGAGGAGTGTGTTATGCTCCCATACTCCTCTGCTTGTGTTCATGTGTCCCAGAGGAGTATGGGAGATTGCACTCCCATTCCTTCCTTCCGCTTGTGTAGATGTGTTTTCTCTTTCTATCCTCAAGTTGCATGCTTGCTTCATTTTCAGTTCTTTTTTTTTTTTAAAGATTTATTTATTGTTGTTGTTGGAAAGGCAGATATACAGAGAGGAGGAGAGACAGATAGAGGAAGATCTTCTGTCCGATGATTCACTTCCCAAGGACCACAACGGCCGGTGCTGCACCGATCCAAAGCCGGCAACCAGGAACCTCTTCTGGGTCTCCCACGCGGGTCCAGGGTCCAAAGGCTTTGGGCCGTCCTCGACTGCTTTCCCAGGCCACAAGCAGGGAGCTGGAGGGGAAGTGGGGCCCGGCCATATGGGATTAGAACCGGTGTCCATATGGGATCCTGGCATGTTCAAGGCGAGGACTTTAGTCGCTAGGCCACACCGCCTGGCCCTTCATTTTCTTTTCTTAAAGATTTATTTTTATTATTTTTTTCATTGGAAAGGCGGATATACAGAGAGGAGAGACAGAGAGGAAGATCTTCCGAACGATGATTCACTCCCCAAGTGAGCACAACGGTCGATGCTATGCCGATCCGAAGCCAGGAGCCTCTTCTGGGTCTCCCACACGGGTGTAGGGTCCCAAAGCTTTGGGCCGTCCTCGACTGCTTTCCCAGGCCACAGGCAGGGAGCTGGAAGGGAAGCGGGGCTGCCAGGACTAGAACCGGCGCCCATATGGGATCCCGGGCGTGCAAGGCGAGGACCTTAACCACTGTGCCACCGCACCGGGCCCAGCCCTTCATTTTCATTTCTTTAAGGCATCTTTACAAATAAAGTATTTTAAGGCTATTCATTTCCCTGTGAATTCTGGGTTAGCTACATCCTATAAAGTTTTTTTTTTTTTAGATTTAAAAAAATATTTATTTTTTATCAGAAAGGCAGATTTTTAGGTTTTTTTTTATTATTATCTATATTTAGCAGTTTATAGGATTCAAGCGAAATTTTACAGAACTTCGTGCATTTTAGGATAATCAAAACAGACTTATAACTCTAACAAGCCATACATTAACAATTGAAGAGTAGAACAGTCTTATGTGGATGCAGAAAGTCATATTTACAGACTGAGAGAAAAATCTTCTATCCGCTGTTTCACTCCCCAAGTAGCTACAACGGCTGGAGCTAAGCCAATCTGAAGACAGGAGCCAGGAGCTTCCTCTGGGTCTCCCATGTGGTGCAGGGTCCCAAGGTTTTGTGCTGTCCTTAACAGCTTTCCCAGGCCACAAGCAGGGAACTGCATGGGAAGTGGAGCAGCCGGGATTAGAACCGGTGCCCATATGGAATTCCGGGCATACAAGATGAGAACTTTTGCCACTGGACCATCATGCTGGGCCCAAGATTTTTTTAAAATTAGAGCATAACTAGTGTTCAGTAAGGTACACAGATCTTGAATGTTGATTTTGTATATATACTCTGCTGCCCACCTCCCAGGTCAAGATGCAGGGCATCCCCACACTCCCTAAGGCTTTGTCCCTGCCTTTTGCAGGCATTATCTCCTTCTAAGAAAAACCATTCTTTTATCACCAGTATGTTTTGCCTTCATTTGACTATGATATAAATGGATGTGTTTTGCTGTGTCTGGTTTCTTCCACTTAACATATCTGTGGGAGGCACCTATGTTGTCAGTTGTGTCATTATTTTGTTCCTCTGGATTGCTGAATCCCAACCATGCTGTGAATGGAATCAGCCTTTGTGTCGTCAAGGGAAGTTTAGGATAGACCACAAGTGTTTATGATGCTGTCTTTTTATTATTGCTGGAAAAAGTGTAAGGATTTCTTTTTTAAGGATTTATTTTATTTCAAAGATATACAGAGAGGAGGAGAGATAGAGAGGAAGTGGAGCTGCCGGGATTAGAACCAGCGACCATATGGAAGCCCAGCTCATTCAGGGCGAGGACCTTAGCCACTAGGCCACGCCGCCAGGCCTGAAAAAGTGTAAGGATTTTTGAATGTCCATTTTTGTTTCTTGTCAGATCTTTTTAGTTTTAGAAGTATTTCTCTGTTTACATATCATTTGGTTTTGGAGTTCCACCTTTATCCCATTGTGACCCAGGAACATAGTTTCTATGACTTTGAATTTTTGCAGTTTGTTGAGAATCTCTTTGTGGCTGAGTAGATGGTTCACTTTAGTGTTCCGTGTAACGCACAGAAGAATGTGTTCCTCAGCTCTGTGTATTCTGGCTTTGTTTGTGTAATTCACGTCCTCTGTAAACTTACTAGTTTTAAAAAAGGATTTGCTTATTTATTTGCTTTGAAAGCAGAGTGACAGAGAAAGGGAAAGATGGAGAGATCGTCTACCCACTGGTTCATTGTTCACTGCTTTTTCTTTTTAAGATTGATTTATTTATGTATTTATTAATTACTGAAAAGACAGAGTTACAGAGAGAAGGAGAGACAGAGAGAAAGATTTTTCATCCACTGGTTCACTCTCCAAATTGCTGCAACAGCTGGAGCTGAGCTGATCCGAAGCCAGGAGCCAGGAGTTTCTTCTGGGTCTTCCACATGTGTGCAGTGTCCCACGGCTTTGGGCTGTCCTCTACTGCTTTTCCAGGCCAGAAGCAGGGAGCTGGATGGGAAGTGAAGTAGCCAGGATATGAACTGGTGCCCATATGGGATCTTGGCAGATGTAAGGTGAAGATTTAATCACTGAGCCATTGAACCATTGCACCAGGACCCTGGTTCACTTCTTAAATGGCTGCAACAGTCAAGTTGAAGACAGGAGCCGGAAACAACTTCTTGGTCTCCAATATGGATGACCCTGGGTCCAAGTACTTGGGCCATTCTCTGGCTGTGTTCCAAGACGCATTAGCCAGGATCTGGATTAGAAATGGAGGCGCCAGGAGTGAAACCAGTAATTTGAGGTGAGCTGCCAGCATCAGAAGTGGCAGTTCAGCCTGTTGTGCCATAACACTGACCCCAGTAATGAAAAAAAAATTTTTTTTTAAGATATCTTAAAAGGTCTTTTGCAAAAGCAATCTATTTATTTATTTATTTATTTATTTTAACAGTAGAACGAGAGAGAGGAAGCCAGAAGCTTTTAGGTCTCCCGTGTGGGTATAGGGACCGAGTCACTTGGGCCATTTCCATGGTTTTTTCAGCTGTGTTAGCGGGGCACTGGAATGGAAATGGAACAGCCAGGCCTCAAACTGGTGCCAGCTTTATCTGTGGTACTATCTACCACTCTCTATCCGAAATTACCTTTTAAAAATACTACCTTCTGTCATTTTCTCTTGATGTTATTTGTATTTGTGTATATGCAGACATGTCCATAGACACTAGCCCTCTGTCCCTAAATGCCTTGGTTTGTGCTTCCTGTGAATAATGATATTCCCTATGCAGCAGCAGATCACTCCCTAATTTCAAAAACATAACACTGAGCAGAGTGTTAATGTACTTCCCATATTCCAGTTTTCTGAACTGACTCCTGATCCTGTCCTGTGACATGGTTGTTTGTCTAGAATGGGATGCAGCCTAGGCTCACATGCCCTGGGTAGTCATGTCTGATTGCTTTTAAAGGTTTGTTTATGCTGTACCTCAACATTGGCCTAAATTGTGTCTATTTAACCTGGACAGATTGCTCAGCCGTTCTTTGTCTCTTATGACGTCTGGCATTTTTGGAGACTATAGTCCTTCTAAGAATGTGTAATTGTGTCATTTCAGGCAGATAAGCAACCTGTGCAGAATACATGGTAAGACATTCTGTACTTCCCAGGGACTTCCATCCCCAACACCTGCTTCCCATCCTGCCCTCTCTTGTGCTGTGACTTGGATAGCTCAGTTAAGGGGCTCACTGGGGCTGACAAAACCCACAGCAGGGAAGGCCTCTGTCCATGATGCCAGCACACAGTTGGAGACCCACTGTGCCACTTCTGATCTAGCTCTTTGCTTATGTGCCTGGGAAAGCAGCAGAAGATGGTCCAGGTTCTTGGGCCCCTGCCCCCATACAGAAGACTAGAAGAAGCTCCTGGCCCCTGGCTTCAGTCTGGCCCAGCGTGAGCTATTGAGAAGTAAACTGGCAGATGAAAGGCCAATTTCTCTGTCCTTCACTCTATAAAATCTGCCTTCCAGAGAAAAATAAAAATTTTAAAGATTTATTTTTATTTATTTGAAAGGCAGAGTGGGGCCCAGCGCGATAGTGTAGTGGTTAAGGTCCTCAGCTTGCACGCCCGGGATCCCATATGGGCGCCGGTTCTAATCCTGGCAGCCCTGCTTCCCATCCAGCTCTCTGCTTGTGGCCTGGGAAAGCAGTTTAGGATGGCCCAAAGCCTTGGGACCCTGCACCTGCGTGGGAGACCTGGAAGAAGCTTTCCCCATAATTCTGCCTTTTAAATAAAGAAATACATATATTTTTATAATAAATTTCAAGTGTGTAAACAGAATAATTAACTGTCAATGTGTCACCTACATCAGCTCCTGGCCAATCTTGTTTGCATGAAGATCTAAAAGATAAAGATCCTCTTAAAAATCGTTATCAAGCCTTTATAAATGAGCCATTTATCAAGTATACAGTCAGTGTTCCTGATCAGGAGACTTTTGAGAGTTTTTCTGGCTGGTTGGTTAATGAGGCTCCAGGTAAGGCCCTCCCACTGCATTTGGTTGTCCCTTTTGATCCCTGCCTTCCAATTTTTTCTTCTACCTTGCAGTTATTTGTGGAACAAGCTTGGGTTGTTTGCTCAGTAGAGTCGTTCACAGATTGGATTTTGCCGAATGCATCCACATGACATCCTCCGGCGTGTTCCTCTCCCTGCCCGTTATTTCCTGAAACCTGATATTTACATGTGGAAGTATTTTCAGCTTTGGGTTTGAGTTGATGGTTGGTATTGTGTCCTCCGAGAAGCATGCGACAGCCAGCAGCTTCTCTGTGGTGTGCAGGTGGATCAGCGGGCTTGTCAGCAGGGTCTGTAGGATACCCCTTTCCTAACTTTTCCCTAGGCAGTCACTACCATTGCTTATGTTCATCATCACGTTGGGGTCATGAAGTAGCGGTGCTCTGGTTTTGTCATTTCTCCTTTAGGTGTTACCAGGAGTACGTTCTCTGTAAAGAAACTCCCTCTTTCTTGGGCCTAGTGCACACCAGGATCCCATATGAGCACCAGTTCTAATCCCTGCAGCCCTGTTTCCCATCCAGCTCCCTGCTTGTGGCCTGGGAAAACAGTTAAAGACAGCCCAAAGCTTTGGGACCCTGCACCCACGTGGGAGACCCAGAGGAGGCTCCTGGCTCCTGTCTTCAGATTGGCTCAGCTCCAGCCATTGTGGCCACTTGGGGAGTGAACCAGTGGGCGGAGGATCTTTCTCCTCTCTGTCTCTCCTCCTCTATGTACATCTGACTTTCCAACAACAATAATAATAATAAATAAAATATACCTTTAAAAAAATAAAAGAAATTCCTCATTTACTATTTGGTGACCCTCAAGTATGCCTGATCCAACAGATTTAATTCTTTAAAAATAAATGTTGGCTTCCCTAATAGCCAATAGGCTTTTTTATTAAAGTCATTGGCTCAAGGATTTTAAACATATTTTCTAGGCCACAATTGTGGCACGGTGAGTTTAGCCACCATTTATGATGCCAGCATCCTTTGGAATGCTTGTTAAACTCTCAGCAACTCTGCTTCCAGTATAGATCCCATCTGATGCACCTGCAAAGGGAGCAGATGATGGCCCAAGTATTGGACCCCTGCTGCTCACATGGGAGATTAGGATGAAGTTTCAGGCTTCTGGCTTCAGCCTGGCTTAGCCCTTGCTGTTGCAGCCATTTTGGGAGTCAACCAGCTAATGGAAGATATCTCCCCCATACCCTACCCAATGTGTGTATGTGTGTGTGTCTGTCTGACTTACAAATAAATAAATAAATATCTTGTGTGTTTCCATCATGCATCCCAGGTATTATTTTTGGATGGTCACATTGTCCTTCTGTCTTTGGTCAGATAACACCCCTCCACCACCTTGGGTTGGCCTTGGTCCCCTTTGATACTCCTCCTTTTGCGAAGTTCCTTGCTTTCTAGTGCATGAGCACATGTCCCAGCCCCACCTTGCCTGAACTGTGATGCCATAAGGACAATGAGGCCCAAGCTGGTGGTCTTTTAAGAATGTGGACTCCATCAGGCCTGAGGCTCAGGTCTCCCATCTTGGTTTTTCCCAAGGAGTCAGCCAGGGGAAGGGCTGGGCACAAAGACACTCAGGGAGGCAGGCCTAGACCAGGCTGGGATCTGGAAGCTGGACACAGTGTCTTAGACTGCCTGTAAATGCCAAAGTGGGGCTTCTTCCCTCCAGAAACTATGCCCAGCAAAGCCTAACCCCTTCCTTTCTGGGGCACTCTGTCTCCATTCTTCTCCTCCACACTGCCCTAGGTCAGAACCACTCCGTCCTGGATGTGGGACCGCATCGACGCCTGCAGTGGACGTGGCTGGGCCGGGCTGAGCTGCAGTTTGGGGACCAGACCCTGCATGTGTCCACCGTGCAGATGTGGCTACTGCTGAATTTCAATCACACAGAGGTGCTTCAGCCCCCTTAGCTCCTTTCTGCCTTCCACCTCCTGGTCTTTATTCTGTTTTATCCTCCCTTGATGTCCCTTTCCTTTCCCTCGGATCCTGACCAGCCCTCCATCTCCTTGCCAGGAGGTGTCAGTACAGTCCCTGCTGAAGCACTCAGATCTCTCTCCAGAGCTGCTGCTCCAGGCATTTCTGCCCCTCACCTCTGAAAATGGCCCTTTGACCCTGCAGGAAGGTCCAGACTTTCCACCACAGGGTAGGTCCATGGGGGGCCTGGGCTGAGCCTCTGCTGGGGTAGCTATGAGAAAGCGTTCTCTTAGCCCCCTGCAGCTGTTCCTCCCCATCCCTGAGGGCCTGACTGGGAGCGGGTTCTAGGTGTGCTGCAGCTTCGTGAGCCCAGGTCTTGGGCCATTGGGGAGGCCCTGTGGCTGATACCTCCTCAGATGTACCTGGACGTGGAAAAGGATGAGGGGCGAACCCTGGAACAGAAGAGGAACCTCCTGAGCTGTCTCCTTGTCCGTATCCTCAAAGCCCACGGCCAGGAAGGCCTTCACATTGACCAGCTGGTTTGTCTGGTAGGCAGCTGGGGTGGTGACGGGAGGGAGGGAGCCAGCCAGGCTTCAGGGCGATTGGGGTTGGGACTGGAGCTCAGCATCAGGAAAGGTGAGATCTCTCGTGCTCTGTTGATGCTGGGTTCTGTTGCTTACAAGGCAGTTAGAGGTAAGACGAGAGGCTTTGCCATGGGCTAGGCCCTATTCCAGGGGGAGCCCAATTGCTTAATTGAATAGTTGAATCCTCAACAATAATCCTGTGAGAAGTAGTATTGTTTCATCCCATTTGGCAGAGGTGACAAGCGAGCCATGAGAAAATCACACACCCACAGTCACACAGCATAATAAATTGCAGAGCTGGGTCCTGCACCCAGGTAGGCAGGCCCAGCTGGATTAGACCGCATGGTATTTTTCTGCCCCCATCCAGGTGCTGGAGGCCTGGCACAAGGGCCCAAATCCCCCCAGCAGCCTGGGCCGTGCCATAGCTGGGGGCGTGGCCTGTAGCAGCACGGATGTCCTTTCCTGCATTCTGCACCTCCTGGGTCAGGGTTATGTGCAACGATGCCATGATCGTCCTCAGATCCTGATGTATGCCACCCCTGAGCCCTCCGGGCCCTGCCGGGGTCAAGCGGACATCCCCTTCTGTGGCACCCAGAGCGCTGAGGCCACCAAGCCCAGGTAGCCACCCTTCCCTATCCCTTACAGTGGATTTTCGGGAGTGCCAAAGCTAGGCTCATGCATAGGCAATCACTTTCTCTGTCTAGTCCTATTCTCCCTAACTGTGTTACCTTCCCCCACTCCCCTGTGCCAGTTTTAATTCTTCTGAGAACCATCGCCTGCCCCCTCCTTTGCCAGCCAGGAGCCTTGGAGTGCTGATGCTCCTAGCACAAGGGGGACACCTCCAGCCTGCAAAATCACGTGGGACTTGACATTCGAGAAATCTAGAGCCCACTGATTGTTAAGTGGATAATTTTGTATGGCTCACAAATGATGTTACCAAGAAGCCTTTGGCAAGAAAAGAGGGTCTTCACCTTCCCTTCCAGGGAGCCATCCCCATGAGCCACCCAGATTCCTTCATGGATGTCTCATTCTAAGCCAACACAAACCATATTGCAAACACATACCGAGGTCCAACAGTACTCTTTGCTTGATATGAGACACAGACTTCCCCGCTCTGGTTCCACAGATGAATCTGCCATAGGGTTCTTCTCGGCAGCACCCCTAAAGCTTCCACTGTTGTCACAAGCAGCTCACGAGTGTGGTCGGGACTCTGTGTTTTCCTACATGCTGTTTGCCTTGTGTGTTAGCTGCATTCTCCAGCGCACTTTCTCCGACCTTAGCATGCATCGCATGGGGACCACGCCACAGGGCAGATCCTGGTTCGGTAGGGCTCCCTGCTGTTTCTCTGCCAGCTGCTGCTGCTGCTCTTCTGGGCAGGACTACAGTACAACTGTCCCTTCCACAGTAGCTCCTGTAGCAGCATCCTGACTCCTGCCTGCTGGATGCCCCTAATCACTCAACATTTATAAGTGTCTCTGGTGCTTGTTCTCTGGCTGGGAAGGCACACGTGAGCAGCAGGGTGCATGAGGGGTGGGGAGTCTCACTGGATTCCCTTCATGGTTCTCAGCAGGGCAGGGCAGTAACTGCTGTCTTTCTTTCATCCCCCATCCCACCACCCCAAGCCCAGAAACTGTGGCCGCTCTGGCATCTCTGCAGCTGCCCACAGGCCATACCCTGAGCCCCCAGGAGGTGGAAGGATTGATGGAGCAGATGGTGCAGCAGGTGCAGGAGACACTGAACTTAGAGGCAGATGTGGCACAGCACCTGTTGGCCCATTCCCACTGGGGTGCCGAGCAGCTGCTGCAGCGCTACAGTGATGACCCTGAGCCGGTGCTGCTGGCAGCGGGACTCCGCGTACCCCAAGCCCAAACAGCCTCCACACGTCCTGACCACTGCCCTGTCTGCATCAGCCCCCTGGAGCCGGATGACGACCTGCCCTGCCTCTGCTGCATGCATTACTGCTGTAAGGTAAGGCTCCTCCTGACACAGATTTTCCACCTGGATGCAGTGCCTTGTGGGGACAAAGCATGGCCACGCCTAACCTGGAGAATGTCAGACAAGGCTCTGTCTCCCCTGAAGTTTTCACCTGCCCTGATACTTGGATGGGTGAATGCGAGGGTCTAGTGAAATGCATCAGTGATTCTCAGATTCCACTGCCAATGATTGCCAGTTGGACTTTTAGCCTTCCTGACGTGGTGGCATAGTGGGTTAAATCACTGCTGACGACACTGGCATCCCACATCAGAGTTGGAGTTGTGGTTGCTCCACTCCAATCCAGCTCTTTCTCTGCTGATGTGCCTGGAAAGGCAGCAGAGCGTGAGCCCAGTGCTTGGGCCTCCGCCCTGACGTGGGAAACACAGGTGGACTTTGGGAGCTACTAAACAATGGCATCTGGCTTCAGCCTGGTCCAGCCCCAGCTGTTGTGGTCATCTGGAAAGTGAACTAGTACATGGTAGATCTCTCTCTCTTTTTCTCTCTCTGTGTAAGCCTGCTTTTGTCATACTTTATTTTTTTTAAAAAAGACATTTATTTTACTTGGAAAGTCAGAGTTATAACGAGTGAGGTAGAGACAGGGAGAGAGAGAAAGGGAGAAAGAAAGAGAGAATCTTCCATCTGCTGACTCACTCCCCAAATGAACGCAACAGCCAGAGCTAGGCTGGTTTGAAGCTGGGAACCAGGAGCTTCTTCTGGGTCTCCCATGTGGGTACAGAGGCCAAAGGACTAGGGCCACCTTCTGCTGCTTTCTCAGGTTATAAGCAGGGAGCTGGATGGGAAGTGGGGCAGTTGAGACATGAACTGGTGCCCATATGGGATGCTGGTGCTTGCAGGTGGAGGATTAAGCTGTTAGGCCACCACCCCAGCTATGTCATAAGTTTTAAGGAGATAATGAAAGTCGTGATGTTCTGACTGTACCCCAGACCAATGAAATCAGGCTTTAGAAATGAAACCCAGGCTTCCTGAGTTTTAAAATCCCCTCAGGTGATGGCAATAGCAACAGAATTGGATCTTTGTATGAAATCTCTATTAAGGAACTTTATAAATGAGGAAGCGATATTAAAGCAATGAGGGCTGTAGCTTATGGTTCCCTTGTCACCATTCAAGAACACTGTCACTGCTTTCATGCTAGACCCTCATTTAAAGCAGAGGCAGGAAGAAGTGTTGCAGATCAGGAAAGCTGAAGGACGGAGGGAATTGCAGGAAGTGGGCTGGTGGCTGGGAAGTAGACACAGGGAGGCTGTGGTTGAGGGCCGAATCCTCCTCAGGTCAGGAGCAGGGCTGGGGTGCCAAGTCTGCCCAGCCTGCCTCACAGCTTTTTAGAAGTGCACCCAAACCCAGCAGCTTCAAGGAAGCACGCTTCTGTTGCCAGGGTTCCTGCTGCTTCCTGGTGGTGGGTGAGCCAAGGAACCTGCCTCTGTGTGAGTGTGTGACAGAGAGAGAACTGTGTGTGTGTGACAGAGAGAGAGTGAACTGTGTGTGTGTGTGTGACAGAGAGAGAACTCTGTGTGTGTGAGAGAGAGAACTGTGTGTGAGAGAACTCTGTGTGTGTGAGAGAGAGAGAACTGTGTGTATGTGTGTGAGAGAGAGAACTGTGTGTGTGTGTGAGAGAGAGAACTGTGTGTGTGTGACAGAGAGAGAACTCTGTGTGTGTGAGAGAGAGAACTGTGTGTGAGAGAACTCTGTGTGAGAGAGAACTGTGTGTATGCGTGTGAGAGAGAGAACTGTGTGTGTGTGTGAGAGAGAGAGAGAGAACTCTGTGTGTGAACTCTTATTCTCCCCTCTGGCTCTGCTTCTCATGACTCTTCTAACGAATACTGCTCCTCTCTTCCAAGGGTCTTAAGGACTTCCTTTACACTCTGATCTTTTTCTTCCATTCAACTAATATTTGTCATGGACCTACTATGAGCCTTGTACTGGATGCTCTATGAGGGAGTGAGGGAAAAAAGCCCAAGCAAGCAATGATCCAGGAACTACTAATCATGGCAGCTAATACTTCCGGGGAGCCCGCTCGGGGATGGGGCCTGGGGCTGTCTGCGTGCGTTGTTTTACCCAAGTCTGCTAACAGTTCTAGCAGCTGGGTATTTTTATCATTCCCATTTTATGGATTATGGCGGGGGTGTGGGATTCTTGAAGAATAATCTGCTTAAGATCAAGATTTGGATTTTAGCAGCCTCACTTCAGGGCCCTCCCCACTTTTAGGATGAGAGGGGTGGAGCAAGCACAGTTGGGTGATGTCCCAGGCAATGCTTGCGGTTGGCAGTGGGGTTGAGGGGGCAGGGAGGTCAGGGGAGGCCTGTTTGGGAGGTGGGGAGGGGAGGAGGGCACAGAGGAGCTGAGCTTGGTGGCTAAGGTTACCACAGGAAGGAGAGCAAGTTCACAAGACGGAAGGGGCCTGTTTGCTGGGAACTAGCAGACAACAGATCTGACTTTCCAGGGAGCCCTGGTGGGTTTTAAATAGGGGAATGACAGGGTCTCATTTACATTCTTGGAAAGGTGACTTGGGCTGTTGTGTGTGGGCAAAGTGCTTGGGTTTATAAGAGTAGAAGTAGACAGTGGTACAAAGAGTCTGGTCTGGGGCAGAGATGATGAGGGAAGTGGAAAGCTGAGATACCCCCTGTGGTGGAGCTGAGAAGCTGTGGGGCATTAGATGTGGGGGTTCCAGACCAGAAAGTCAAGGTTGGTGCCTGTGGTTTTGACCTAAGCATCTGGGTGAGTGGAATGTGTCCCGGTGTCCAGAACAGCAAGTGTTAGGATTGGAAGGCGGGAGTAGAGATCAGGTTTCTGAGGGGGAGTTCAATGTGTTGTGGCCCAAATGAAGTTTAAGCTGCTGGTTGGATGCCTGTTTGGGGCTGACAGGGAGCCACTGAGTCTTGCGGGTATGGGATGAGCTGGAGAGGCCTAGCCGGCATCAGTCAGGGAGAGAGAAGAGGCCCAGCCAGGCACTAAGCCTGGGGGACTGTAAGGGTGTGGAGATGAGGAGCCTAGAAATGCAAATGAGGAAAGCAGCTCCTTGTACAAGTTCCAGCCAGAGAGGAGGCCATGGCAAAGTCACAGCTGAGTGGCAGAGGACAGGCGGCAGCCCCGTGCTTCACATGGCCTGGATAGGCTGCAGTGGAAGCCAGGAGCAGCAGCAGTAGGAAGGGTTCCCCAAGGCTTGGGGGCAACCTGGATACTGCATTCGCACTTGCACTTGGTCTGGCCTTGTGTGTCTTTCAGAAGGGCTGTGGGATGCACGGTCCAGTCAGGTGCTTTGCATCTGTCCTGCGGCTCCGATGGCACTGCTCCATATGGTCTCCTGGGGGCACACCCAGCCTTTTAGAGAGTCCCGCCACAGGCAGCATGCAGGGCAGCCATCAGGAGAGGAGTATTTTAGGAGGTTCAGGCTGCTGATCCTGCGTACAGCAAATGGGCTGTGTGGGATGAGATGGGGCTCTTACAGCAGCTTAGGGATAATGGAGCAGGGCAGAGATGGGGGAACAAGAGGAGAGTTAAAGAGACACAGAGATGGGAGCCTAAGGGAAGATGCTGGAGATGGGCCGGCCTTGGGGCAAGGCCAGCTCCACATCCACAGGCCGCTCTGGCCTTGCTGCTGCTTCCACACCTTCTGTAGAACTTGAATCTCTCTTCTTCTTGATTCTCCCTCCACGGCCAAATCCGACAGTCATCATAATCAGGATGACACCACAGCCAACACATCCTCAAAAGCGAAGGAAAATCCAGATAGACTAGAAGGCTTGGGGCCAATTTTGAGGTGGCTCCAGACGCAGCAGGGAGGAAGGAAGGAACCCGCTGTCCAGCGGGCACACTGTCTTTTTCTTGAATGGCCTCTCCCTGCCTCCTTCCCAGTCTTGTTGGAGGGAATATCTGACGACTCGGATTGAGCAGAACCTTGTGCTGAACTGCACCTGCCCCATCGCCGACTGCCCTGCCCAGCCCACTGGAGCCTTCATCCGCACCATCATCTCCACGCCGGAGGTCATCTCCAAGGTATCTCCTCTTATCTGAGAGGTGGCAAGGGGATGGGCCCTAGGACTGGGCTAACCTGGGTTGGGTGGGAAGTGGGGCTTGTTGCTACGGCCTGGAGGCATGGCGTCCTGGAGGCAATGACCTCTCTCCACGGTACTTCTGGCCCCACACAGTACGAGAAGGCAGTCCTGCGTGGCTACGTGGAGAGCTGCTCCAACTTGACCTGGTGCACCAACCCCCAGGGCTGTGACCGCATCCTGTGCCGCCAGGGCCTGGGCTGCGGAACCACCTGTTCCAAGTGTGGCTGGGCCTCCTGCTTCAACTGTAGTTTCCCCGAGGTGGGCGTTCTCCCCAGGAGAGATCCGCACTCCCCCCTGCTCTGAGCCCACCCCACCACACACGGACTTGTCCTTCCTTACCCTCTGCCATCTGGGTTCCCCCTCCTCCCTCCATGTGTGACCCGTGTGCTCTCCCTCCCTCTTTCCATGCACCCCAGCAGTTATCTCCCACCCCTCCCCACCAGGACTGGGCTGTGTCCTCATCCCCTCCCCCTACTCCTATCCTAGGCGCACTATCCCGCCAGCTGTGGCCACATGTCTCAGTGGGTGGATGACGGCGGCTACTACGATGGCATGAGCACAGAGGCCCAGAGCAAGCACCTGGCCAAGCTTATCTCCAAACGCTGCCCCAGCTGTCAGGCTCCCATCGAGAAGAATGAGGGGTGCCTGCAGTAAGCAGGGAGGGAGGGGAGTGGGCGAGGGGGAAAGGCCTGGCCATGAGCAGGGGCAGCAGCAAAGAGGGCAGCTCCCATCTCTCACCTGGCATGTGTCACAGTGATTCCTGGAGAATTCAGATGCCAGGGCACCCTCAGCAAGACTCGACTAGAGGGCAGGGGCAGAAACCAGAGCCCTGTCCGTGGTGGCCCACTGTGTCCCAGCCCCTGACCAGCCTGCCTCCTCCCCAGCATGACTTGTGCCAAATGCAACCATGGATTCTGCTGGCGCTGCCTCAAGCCCTGGAAGCCGACCCACAAAGACTATTATAACTGCTCTGCCATGGTAAGGGGCAGGGTCACTTGGGCCTGTGGGTGCTGGTCATCCCATCAGCAGGGGCCTTCCACTCTGACACAGAGGCAGCCACAAGCAAGGCTGTGGGTGGGGGTGCCAGGGCTGTGTCGGGGAAGAACAAGGGTTCTGGTCTCTGTTGCATAGAAAGTGGCTTTGGGCAAATCCATTTCCTTCCATGAGCTCCAGCATCCTGCCTTTTCATGGGGGAATCACAATGTGACAAGAGAGGAGGATCCAGTGAGAAACCATCCAAATGCAGTATAGGAAGGCCTGCATGAGTGGTGGCCCCGTCTAACCGACAAACCCCGTGCTGGCCCACCAAAGTTTCCCCCTAACCCTTGCCACGTGGTCTTGGCAGGTGAGCAAAGCAGCCCGCCAGGAGAAGCGGTTTCAGGACTTCAATGAGAGGTGCACTTTCCATCACCAGGCCCGGGTGAGCTGGGCTGGCAGAGGACCATGGGGAGGGGGCGGGGCGGGGCGGCACTGGGCTGCAACCTTGATGCTGAACACCCACACACACAGGAGTTCGCTGTGAACTTGCGGAACCGGGTGTCTGCCATCCACGAGGTGCCCCCACCCAAATCCTTCACCTTCCTCAACGATGCCTGCCGGGGACTTGAGCAGGCGCGAAAGGTTGTAGTGGCAGCGGGATGGTGGTGGTGGTAGTGTGTGTGTGTGTGTGTGTGTGTCTGTGTGTCTGTGTGTCTGTGTGTCTGTCCAGGGGGTCTAATGGGCTTGGCTGCTCTCCTCTCCCTCGCCTGGCTGGAGGGGCTGCGGAGGAGGCAGGAAAGCTGACGGGGCCTCCCACAGGTGCTGGCCTACGCCTGTGTGTACAGCTTCTACAGCCAGGACACAGAGCACATGGATGTGCTAAAGCAGCAGACTGAGAACCTGGAGCTGCACACCAACGCCCTGCAGATCCTGCTGGGTGAGCTGGCCCCTTGCTCCACCATCCTGCCCGTGCCAGGCAGCCCACCCTGACCATAGGAGCCACCTCCCCACACACCAGCTCCTGCTCCCTCTGCCTGCTATGTAGTCTTCTTGTCCCTGGCTGTTGAAGTTCAGTTCTGAAGTCCTCATGCCAACAGACTTGGGGCAGGCATTCACCCTGCATGTTCTCAGTCTGCTCTGCACCCCACTGCTGGAGTATGAGCACCATGAGTGAGCAACTGTAAGCCATCCAGAGCTGCCCTGCCTCTTGGCAGTTGCTGTTCATTCAGTGCTTGCTGCAGGGAGGCACAGGGGAGAGTGAGAGAAGGGAAGGAGTCCCCCTGCCTGCCACCACACTCTCCCTCCATGCCCCTGCAGAGGAGACGCTGCTGCGGTGCCAAGACCTGGCCTCCTCCCTGCGTCTCCTGCGGGCTGACTGCCTCAGCACGGGCATGGAGCTGCTTCGGCGCATCCAGGAGAGGCTGCTGGCCATCCTGCAGCACTCCTCCCAGGTACAGCCCGGCCAGAGACTGTGCATTCCCAGTTCCTGGCCTTCACCCTGCTGGGATGGTTCACACCCCACAAAGGGGTTAGCCAGGAACCCATCAGACTCGCTCCGGGTGTTTCAGACTGTAAGTCCCAGGTGGAGTTGGGAACCCTGGGTTGAGGGGTCAACATTTTCCCTGGCTCTGACTCACGTTGAGTCTGACCCCTGCCTAAGGGCACTGACGGCCTGCTATAAGCCCCTCGAGCACAGAGTGGTGTATATGTGGGTGTCTGCTTCTGCCCCCCAGCCCCAATGCCCTGGAGTCCACTGTAATTTCACTTGCATAAGGCGGGAGTAGGGGGAACTCTCCTGGCCCAAGCCAGGCACTCAAGAGTGGAGACAGGGCCCAGGGCCCCAGCGTTCTCCACCCTCCCGCTCCCTACAAACACCCCATTTCCTTACTAGGATTTCCAGGTTGGCCTGCAGGGCCCGTCGGTGGAGACCCGGGAGGCCAAAGGACCCAACATGCCTGGCAACCCGTGAGTAGGAGGTAGAGGGGATGCCAAGCCAGAGGGGTGGCAGGAGATGTGGGACTTCCCTGGGGCTGAGTGGGCTGGCCGTGCATAGGCCCCCAGGTTCTTCGGGGCTGCAGGAGGAGGAGGAAGAGGAGGAGGACGACGAAGACGATGTGCCTGATTGGCAGCAGGACGAGTTCGATGAGGAATTAGACAATGACAGCTTCTCCTATGATGAGGAGTCGGAGAACCTGGACCAAGGCGCCTTCTTCTTTGGCGATGAGGAAGAGGACGACGATGAGGCCTATGACTGAGGGGAGGCAGGGGGTGGGAGAGACGTGGGACACTCCTGGAGTGGTGCCACCACAGTCCTGGGGCTTTGGACACCTGCTGTGGGGGAGGGGCTGCCCGCGCCACATCACCCTTCTCTGTTTGCGGAATAAATCTTTCACCACCACACACATACAGAGGCTGGCTGCACAGATGTGAAGTTAGAATTTTCACACGGTCTTTAATGTCCACTAGTGTTGAGGGGAATGGTAACAGGACAGGAAGAGTGTGATCAAGCCACATGATATCACGTGGTTGGGTGAGGGGAGGCAGCCGCCCGCCCGGGAGGGTCAGCTTCGAAGTACTGGTCCAGCAGGGCCTCCACCTCTTCTTCCTTGTAGTCCCACACTTGGAACTGTGTGCCGTCGGCTGCTCCCCGAATCATGGCTGAAAGTACTAGAAGGGCAGGGAAAGGTGATGCTGTCTTTTGCTTTCCTGCCCTGGTGTGGGCAGACATGTTCAGCCCTCCGAGGAAGGCACTAAGGGCTTAGCCCACACAAAGCCTGAGAGGGCCAGGTGGCCCTCTCGGGCTTGGGGTACTCACCTCGGCCAGACTGCGGGCGGAACAGGCACAGGACCCGCTTATTGAGGGCCATGGCCCAGCCTAGCTCATAGCCTACGCCCAAGGACGGCTGTGTCACCTCTGCCACGACCACTGGGAAGAAAGAGGAGATGATGGCTCCATGTGTGTGGGCCGTTTGGGGCTTGTGGGAGAGATGGCCGGCAGAGGCTGTGGTGGGAAGGAAATCCCAGGAGACTGCATGGAGGTGGGAGTCCACTCACCGTCTGCCTGCCGCAGCCAGGCCAAGTCCCGCTTGTGGATGAATCTGTCCCCGCCTGTGGCTTCTTCTCCTGCAGGTGAGGGACAGCCAGTCAGGGGCACGGGCAGTCAGGGAGGCTCCATTCAGGTGTGACCTCCAAGGGCCTGCCCAAGCTGACTGCACAAGAGCAGAGAAGAAATGGGGGCCATGAGATATGCTCAGCCCTGTGCAAGGTGGGCTGTGAGGTTAGAGCCAAGGAGGAGTACAAGGAAGGACCTCCCCACTCCAGGGTGATTATGAAGAGGTGCAGGGGCACTTGACCCAAAGCAGGAGGGGTGTCTTGGGGTGAACACACCAGGCTCGCAGCGTCCAGGACACTGAGGCACCAAGCCAGCAGCATCAGAACAGAGCAACTACAGAGCTTGTTAGGAACACAGACTGGAGGGCCAGCGCCGTGGTGTAGCGTGCGAGGCCTCTGCCTGTGGTGCTGGCATCCTACATGGGTGCAGGTGCCCTGGCTGCTCCACTTCCCATCCAGCTCCCTGCTTGTGGCCTGGGAAAGGATCCAAGGACAGCCGGAAGCCTTGGGACTCTGAACCTGTGTGTGGGAGACCTGGAAGGAGCTCCTGGCTCCTGGCTTCAGATCAGCTCAGCTACAGCCATTGTGGCCATTTGGAGCATGAACCAGCAGATAGAATCTTTGTCTCTCCTTCTCTCTGTAAGTCTGCCTTTCCAATAAAAAAAAAAAAAAAGACAAATCTTTAAAAAATAAAGAAAGGCAGCATCAAGCGCAGATCGCAGTAACAGTGGGGCCAGAGAAGGGGCTGGTCTGGCTCAGCCTCCTCAGTCCTGGGGCAGAGCAGTAACAACGAGGTGCAAGCCGGCACGGGCCACCCCGAGTTCGCTAAGGTGGCTCCAAAGGTAGGGGTGGGGCGGGAGGGGGCAACGAATGTTCGAGCCTGAAGGACCTCGTCCTCGGGCAGGGGTGCCCCCCCCACCCCCGTAGGCAGGACCAGGCCAGGCAGGGCAGGCTCCGGGCCAAGAGAGCGCCAGGACGGGGGACAGGGGCGGGCCCGACCCTCCCCGCCGCGCCCCGCCGCGCCCCGCGGCCTCACCGCGCGCGCTCAGCTCGGCGGCCGCCACGTGCTCGGTGAGCACCGCCCCGAAGCGCCGCAGCCGCGCCACGATCCGCCCGTACAGCGCCAGGTCGTCGCGGCCGCCGCGGATGCTCCCGCAGAAGTACAGGGCCCGGCGCGCCGGCTCGTCCGGCCCCGGGAGCTCCGGAGGCTCCCCGTGCGCCCGCGTCCCGGTCGCCGCCATCGCCGCCGCCGCCATCGCCGCCAGCCCCCCACGTGACCGGCCGGGCCCGCCCCCGCCAGGGCGAAAGCCAGCACTCACCCTGACCTCGCGTCCCCTGCCACCACCGCCACTACCCTGGGCCAGCCTCCATCCGGCTCCACGGTCTCCCCACTCCCTACCGCCCTGCCCTGCCCTTGTTCTTTTAGCCTTCTCACCACTCGGTAACTTACCGATTATGCCTTGTCCTTTTACAACCCATAGAGTCTCTTCCCAGGGGAGTGGAGCGTGTTTTTGCTTCTGTTGGCTGCAGCTCTAGCAGCTTCTAGCCGGCTCCACGTCGCACTGGAGTGAGCGCCTTGAGGGGAAGGATGCATTTCACAGCACTGGATAATCAGCCGGGCCTCCGGTGAGCAGGTGCATAGAGGCCATAGCCTCACTCTGCCGGCTTACCCATCACCCAGCTTATGACAATGCAGCCAGAACTGCGAGTGGGGTAAGAGGGTGTGTGTGCAGTCCCCGAGAGTCCCCAGCTGGTACTCCAGGAGCACAGAGGGCTTGGGGAAGGAGGGAGCTTGGTTCAGTGCCATCAGGAAAGGAAGACTAGCGTGCTGGAGGCAGCCCGGCCACCTGCCGGATCCCTAGAGGACAGAGAGGAATCTGCAGCGCACACACCCCTTTCCACAGGTCCCCCAGATGCTGCAGGGCTCCACCTGCAGTCTCCTCCAGGCTTTCTATTGCCCTCTCATCTGCCCTCCAGTTTGTCCCATAAGCAAAGACCACACGTGCAACATGCATGTGTACATGCAACGCAGCTATTTACACATGCACACAGGACTGTTGTGGGGTACACCTCTGTGGTGTGTGTGCCTGGAGTCCTCTTTCAACTGAAAGCTGTTCTTTCCTACAAGAAACAAGGCCAGCTTGCAGGAAGAGGCAGGGGCAGGTGCAGCCTGCCTCTCAGCTAGGTTGGGAGGCCCGCGTGGGAGGAAGGAATGGGATGGGGGAAGGAGGGGACTGCACAAGGTGATGCCATTCAGATGAAGCAGAGCCCGTGGAAGCTTCTCAGAACACACCAGGTTCTCCAGAACTGCTGGGGAAGGGGCAGTCCTGTGTGCTTCCATGATGGAGGTGAATGCCATCATAAATGTGTCAGAGGGTCAAAGCCCCCACTGAGAGTACAACAGAGAAGGGCAGAAGACTGCTTCCTGTGGCATTCCACCCGAGAGAAGGAACCAGAAAACACAGGCAGAGAGCAGGCTGGGCACTGCTGCTGGCCAGGTCTAAGAAGGGGCAGGGGTTGGCCACAGGGGTCCCACGTGAGCTTTGGGGGTGATGGGAAGGTTTTTAATGTGAATTGCAGTGGGAGTCCAACAACTCTATGCATTCATTTTTCTTAAAAAGTTCTAGGGCCCTGCGCGATAGCGTAGCAATTAAAGTCCTTACCTTGAACGCACTGGGATCCCATATGGGCACCGGTTCTAATCCTGGCAGCCCTGCTTCCCATCCAGCTTCCCGCTTGTGGCCTGGGAAAGCAGTCGAGGATGGCCCAAAGCCTTGGGACCCTGTGCCTTTGTGGAAGATCCCGAAGAGGCTTCAGGCTTCTGGCTTCTGATCGGCTCAGCTCCAGCCATTGTTACTTGGGGAATGAATCAGCAGATGGAAGATCTTCCCCTGTCTCTCCTCTCCTCTGTATATGTAACTTTCCAATAAAAATTTTAAAAATTCAATCTTTTTTTTTTTTTAAAAAAGCCCTAGATTGCATTGTGTAACTAGTGGATTTAATTGGCATATAAGAGCTTAGTGGCTGTAACTATTGATCTTGTATTCCAGGAAGAGATTTAAGATTTATTTATTTTTATTGGAAAGGCAGATCTACAGAGGGAAGGATCTTCCATCTCCTGGTTCACTCCCTAAAAGGCCACTATGGCTGGCTGGAGCTGAGCTACTTCAAAGCCAGGAGCCAGGAGCTTCTTCTGGGTCTCCCACATAGGGGCCTAAGGCTTTGGATCATCCTCTGCTGCTTTCCCAGGCCACAAGCAGGGAGCTAGTTGGGAAGTGGAGCAGCTGGACTCAGACAGCCCTCTAATACGGAATGCCAGCATCATAAGAAACAGAAGCTGCTGTGCCCCAACTCTGACCCTAGAACTGTTTTATCAGCAGAGACGATTCTTTATATATTAATGAAACAGCCCTATATTTCCTCCCACTCTCATCCCCTGGCAACCATGACTGTGTTTTGTGCTTCTAGGGATTTCACTATTATAAATAGCTGCAGAAGTTGATTTCATTTTCTGCAGTGTTTGTACTTCTGTGGTTAGCTTATTTTATTTAGGGCATGGCCTACAAGTTCTCACATGTTGTATACTTCCTGATTTAACAACCCATTACAAATTAGAGTAATTAAAATAGTATGGCACTGGCATAGAGACAGACCTATAGCCCAATGGGAAAGAATTAAGAGTCCAGAAAGAAGCCCACGGAGTCGTCGTTTCTGTCAAAAATGCCAGAAATACACACTAGGGGGCGCTCCCATCCAGGTGCGTCTGTTGCCAATGGTGGTGGGAAAATTGGGGATCTACAGAGACAAAAAGGGAAGTGGAGCCCTATCTTATATCATGCATCAAAGTCTACTCAGATTTAAATGTAGGATCTGGGGACCAGTGCTGCAGCGTAACACGCTAAGCCTCATCCTGTAGCAGCAGCCTCCTGTATGGGTACCGGTTCAAGTCCCAGCTGCCTCACTTCCAAGATAAGAATGTGGAGAAGTTGGAGTCCTGTGTGCAATTGGTGGGAACGTAGCAGTTGTGGAAAAGAGCCCTCGAACAATTAAAACCGGAACTACATTATGATCCATGAGTCCTATTTCTGGATGTGTCTCCAAAAGAACTAAAATCATGATTCTGAAGAACTATCCTCATGCAAACATTCTTGGCTTCATTATCCACACTAGCCAAAATACAAGGACAACCTTCTTGTCCACTGATGAGGAGAAGAAATGGATAAACACAGCATGGTTTAGACTCGCAATGGAATAGTATCCAG